AGTGTTATTAAATCTGGTCCTGCGCCCCAAGAGTCTCTCTGTACATCACTGGAGATTAATGCAAATAGACAAAATAGTGCAACAACACACAATGCACCCATATCCCTTCCCCACACCAAATGTACCTCTCTGTGTATCTGAGCGAGTGTTTTTCCATATCCCCCCGTCCTGTTATGAAGCTGGTGACTCATGCTCGGGTAGAGTTTCCCAGGTATTGGCAGTCCTCCACTAGCCTCGCCTCAAGTGGCCATTTTCCATGTATGAGCATAGACAGTGAGTGAGTTAGTGAGTGTTGGCAAGCAATTTAACCACGAGAGAGTGGGAAGGAGAAAGGCAACAGCCGTTGTGCCTAATCCTGTCCTCACCGGATAGTCAGAACTATGAACTTTTCAGCAAGGAATCAGTGGATAATAATTAGGAGTGGGAACCCCAGTTGACTTTTGCACCTTTGCAGTACAGGGATAGAGAGACTAATACAGTAAAAGCACATCCAACACATATCTGGCCAGCATGTCTTGAAGACGTGATAACGTGCTTTATTAAATGCAAGAATTATTATTATTAGAAAACTCAGCACGGACCATGGCTTGAACCTGCCTGGTCTTTGTAACTCACGACTACTGATCCACGACTCTTTTTTAAAGAAGAGGTGAGGCTCATCATCGAGCATGGGTCACTGGCAACATGCAACATTACAGATTATATTTAACACGTCACATAAATTTTTTAAACCCAGGATATTAATGTATTGGGAAACATGCAACAGCTTGTTCTTAAAAGTCTGCAAAACCAACTTGTTTGTGTTGTCCAGCTGTTGCTATTTGGTTCAGCTTTGCACCTTCAATTATCAATCATCTTGTTGGAGTGCGTCAACCTTCAAACGCTTTGGTTTCCTTTCGCACAGTTACTCTCCATCCTCACATCTTAACGCCACCCTGCTCTGGCAGCAACAATGTGCCTTATCACAGCACAGTTCCCGTGCCACCATATCTGATGTTGTTAAAACTAACGCATGACCTAACCAAACTACAGGAAGTCAGATTCTCACCCAACAAATACCAAAGAAATTGGCCATACAACTTGGACTGAAACTTAAGATACGTAAGCAGGTACTTAAACTTGCATTTCAAAAATAAAAATATGCCCTTGATTGTGTAAACTTCTTCTTTTTAATTGAGCAGGCGCGAGACGCCACCTAGCGGTGATTGACGGTTTCAACAACAACAACAACAACAACAACAAGATTCCATTTATAGAGCGCCTTTCACGTCAGGAGGACGTCCCAAGGCGCTGCACAGTTGGGTCATGACCCGAGCAGGGGGGAAATGGTCAGGGTGAGGGGAGGGAAGGGAGGGAGAGAGGAGGGGGAAATGGTCAGGGTGAGGGGAGGGAAGGGAGGGAGCGAGGAGGAGGAAGAGAGTCGAGAGGGGAGCTGAAGGCTCGGTCAAAGAGAAAGGTTTTGAGACCGGCCTTGAAGGAGGAAAGGGAGGAAGCGGCGAAGGCACTGGGGGATGGAGTTCCAGAGCCTCGGGGCTGAGAGGCTGAAGGCCCGACCACCGATAGTAGGGCGGTTGGGCCGGGGGACGTGGAGCAGACCGGAGCCAGAGGAACGGAGGGTACGGGCAGGTAGGTAGGGGGATAGTAGGTTGGAGAGGTAGGAGGGAGCAAGGCCGTGAATGGCCTTGTAGGTGAGGATGAGGATCTTGAAATCAATCCTCTGGGGGATGGGGAGCCAGTGGAGGCGAGCGAGGGTGGGAGTGATGTGGTCCCGAAGCCTGGTGCGGGACAGTACACGAGCTGCAGAGTTCTGAATGACCTGCAGCTTGTGGAGGGAGGTGGCGGGAAGGCCGGCGAGGAGAGAGTTCCCATAGTCCAGCCTTGAGGTGACAAAGGCGTGAACCAGGGTTTCAGCAGCGTGAGGGGTGAGGTAGTGCCGTAATCTGGCGATATTCCGGAGGTGATGGAAGGCGGTGCCAGTTGTGGTGCGGATGTGAGGGAGAAAGGACAGCTCAGGGTCGAACAAAACGCCGAGGTTCCTGACTGGCTTTGAGAGGTGGAGAGTGCAGCCTTGGATGCTGATGGTGTCAGCGCCTGAGGTGCGGAGGCGCTGACGTGAGCCAATCAGGAGGGCCTCGGTTTTTCGCACGTTGAGCTGAAGAAAGTTGTCTCTCGTCCAGGACTCGATGTCGGACAGGCAGGCTGTCAGGACATCGGTGGTCGTGGAGTTGAGAGTAGAGGAGGAAAGGTAGAGTTGGGTGTCATCCGCATACATGTGGAAGTTAACCCCATGTTTGCGGATGATGTCACCGAGGGGGAGCATATAGAGGGTGAAGAGGAGGGGACCGAGGACAGAGCCCTGAGGGACACCACATGAGACAGTACGGGGGGTGGAGGAGAAGCCATTCGTTGAGACGAAGTGAAGACGGTGGGAAAGGTAAGAGCTAAACCATTCAAGGACAGTGCCTTGAAGGTTGAGGTGGGAGGACAAGCGGTGGAGTAGGATAGCGTGGTCGACCGTATCGAATGCTGCCGATAGGTCGAGGAGGACGAGGAGACAGAGGGAGCCCTGGTCACAGATAGTCAGGATATCATTGGTGACCTTGACCAGGGCAGTTTCTGTGCTATGAGCAGCACGGAAACCTGACTGAAGGGGTTCAAAAAGAGAATGGGTGGAGAGGAAAGAGCGCAGTTGGGAGGCGACAACTCTTTCCAAGACCTTGGAGAGAAAGGGGAGGTTGGAGATGGGCCGGTAGCTTGATAGCTGCGACGCATCAAGGGAGGGTTTTTTCAGGGTGGGCGTGATGATGGCAGTTTTTAATGGAATGGGGACAGAGCCAGAGGAGAGGGACAGGTTTATGATGTCAGTGATGTGTGGGGCAAGAAAATGGAGCTGGGAGATAAGGAGTGGAGTGGGGATGGGGTCAAGGGAGCAGGTGGTTGGTTTTAGGGATAGGATGAGTTCAGTGACAGAGGGTGGGGAAACGGGTACGAAGGTGTGTAGGGGAGGATGGGTAGGAGTCGGAGTGTGGGAGGGCAGGGGTAGGTGGTGGGTGGAAGTTGGAGGGGAAGTGACCGCGGAGCGGATTCCCTTGATGATTTCATAGAATCATACAGCACAAAAAGAGGCCATTCGGCCCATCGAGTCTATAATAGTAATAATAATAATCCTTGCATTTGATATAGCGCTTTTCACGTCGGGAGGACGTCCCAAAGCGCTTCACAGAACACACTGTAAAGTGAATTGACTGTATATTTGTGGGCGAACGCGGCAGCCAATTGCGCACAGCAATGTCCCACAAACAGTCGTAGATTGAAAATGACCAATTTGTTATTGTTTTTGGTTTTGGAGGGATTATTATTAGGCTCTGTGTGGAGTAAGGAAACTTGCCCAAGGTTTCGCCCTCTGCCTGGAATTGAACTCAGGTCTCTCACTTGCAAAGCAAGTGCTCTAACCACTGAGCTACAGGATTCCAGTCTGTGCCGGCTCTTTGAAAAGAGCAATGGAGACCCCTGGTTGAGGCTGACGCTTCAGGGCAGTGTTGGGGGAGACAGCTCTGTGTAAGGTGCCATCCTCAAATGAAATGTTAAGTACCTTTTCACTCTTCAGACGGATGTTAACAGTCCCATGGCACTATTTGAAAAGAGAAGGTAGTTTCTCCTGGTGTTCCGATCAATGATCCTCCAAGTTTAGAAAAATTAGTCATTTTAGCATGAAAAGGTGCTGTGTAAAGGTAAGCAATATTAGATTATCTATCAAGTCAGGGAAAATCAGCGCAGCTCCTAAAATGACACCATTAACCACAGCAATCAGCCAGACAGGTTGCAGTCTCTAACTCAGATCCTCTTGAATTTTCAAAGAAAACACCTTATTCACTACACACCATTCAGATGAAGGCAAAGAGTTTATCCTTGACATAGGAATATATTGCAAATACAATTACTGGACTTACAGTATTCACACTCGGTTGTCCAAATTCACAAAAGCTACAAAAGGTGTCAGCATCACAATAAATACAGTTAGTTATACCTGTATCAGACACGCCAATGGTACACGTTATTCAAAAGGCATACATATACATTGCCCACATTAGGCAACAATAAATACATGTAAACTGTATTGGGCTTTCGGAGAAACGGGTTCCAGGGATTGTGGTACTGGGAAGGTCCAGCTAGGACATCAGAAATTCGTGCTTACACAACAGACACCGCAAAGCTGAGAAAGACATTCACGATCCAGCATTTGCTGCTCAGAAGGCAGCCAGTTTAGCTCTCTTACAGAAAATATGTTTATTTTGTTTTAAAAAGAAAGAAATGGAATGAAATCGAGCAATGTTGATCACACATGTGCACGCGAAAGAAAAATCACGCTTTAGAAAAATGCCCTTAATGTTCCATGAATAATTTTTTAAAAAGAGCAGATAATGTACACATTCCCAAGATGTCTTCAGTTTCACGGAACAGCTAGTCAGTATTCAGTGCCCAGTAAAATGGTCATCCAGTCATGGCATGTAAATAGTTATGCTCTCGGGAGTCTGATTTGTGCCAATTTCCGATGGGATTCCTTTTTTATAAATTCTTTCTGATTTAATTGGAAAAACATCAGTCACACCTTGCCGACTCACAGGAACATCGCTCAGGAAGCACATTCTGTCAGAGCGCACTTGGCACAAGTCAGCTTTATGCAATTAATCCTTCCAAAAACATAATAATAATAATAATGTGGTCACTCAATCCACGACTGTTTGTGGGACACTGCTGGGTGCAATTGGTTGCCACTTTTCACCCACAAAATACACAGTCCACTACACTTCACAGTATATTCTGTGAAGTGCTTTGAGATGTCTCAACGATGTGAGAAGGCGCAATATCAAATGCAAGGATTATTATTTTTATTACTTCCTGGTTTCCTTTTTTGCGGAATTCCATTGGAAATTTTCACCTCCACGACCACATTGTCTTCCAAGGTCATAACTACTTGTTCTCTTTCCCCACCCTCTTACCAGCTGAAAACCAGATGCAACTTTACCCAAGTTAGAATTAAAAACATGTTTTTTTCTACATTATTATCTAAGTAAACTCAAACCTCTTTGCACAAACCTCTTCTTTATTCCAGTTCTGCCTGATCCCAAATCAGGTACGTTTTAAAAAGAACGTTCACAGGACATGATTATTAATACCATCTCATCCCACTAAAAGCAGTTTGAAAAGAACAAGATTTTGCATTTAGCGCCAATGAGAGGTTCAATCTTACTTAGATCATGTTAATAGCATCAGCTATTTCGGTCATCAAAAGCATTAGGTTCCAGATTAAGACAAGCTGCTCCCCCTCAACAAAATGCTTCGAAACACTGATTAAGAAGGACTGAAAACAAACTGCTACTTTGGAAATTTTAGAGCACTGCATCTTTAAAAACCTGTGAATATAAAGTGTCTATGCGCATTGTGTGTTACTCAATCTCCCCCCTCCTCCCCACTTTTAATTTTATGGGCCAATTCCCCTGCTCCCCACACAAATAACACGCACATATAGTAGAAGAAGATACCGCCTGATTAAACACATCAGTTTCAAGAACAAGAGCTTCTGAAGAACTTGCCCCACACCGTAATCCACATTGAAATGGATCTCAGCCACATGGAAGAAACCGGGGTGACGAAGCATCCAAGATGAATCAGGGGCAATAAAGGGAATATTTTAAAGCTTAAAACAAATATGCTGCTAAGTGACAAATGTAAGGTAGGAGGGTAGTGGTTGTGGGGGGAGAGAAGAAGCTAACAGCTGAGACATGGGGCAATAGAGGCAGCTGAGGGAACAGATTACAAAGAAATAAATAGATGATGCCGTGGTCAAACCATTCTGTTTCGTCAAGTGGTCGATTGGCCCCATTTTCCAACGTGAATCAGTCTCCTGCCTACCCTCCTAGTTTTGATCAGCGCTGCCATTCCCTTTTTGTTAAATCCTATTATTCTACAGCAGCCGCCTCTCTCTGTCGTCCCCCCGATGGTCACTTTAAGCCAGTTATTATGCGAGTTCTCAGTAGTTGGCCGCGACTGGCGACTGTTACAGTACCAGTTTAGTCCCGTCAGTAGTGCTTGCAAATTGTCAGTTGAATACCACAAAGCGACTCCCTTGAGGAGCTATTGTCCGTGTTGCGGGGTTTACGAGGTAAGCTTGGAGTAACTTGGTGGAGAGAATCTCCTTCTGAGGTACTTCAATATGTACAGCGGAAGGCAGCTGACAAGAGTGATGACTGTCACCTTCCACAGGAAGGACAAAGTGATGATAAAGTAGACATCTGTAACAGAAAGAACGTGGTGCATCAGTCACAACTTTTATTAGTGTCCGTCCCAAGGGTTTTGTCCCTGTCGATGCAAGCAGATCAAGGTGAGCTACACCACAATGACTGAATACTGGATAAGAAAAAAGTTATATTGTGTTGCTCCTTCTGTGCTCTCTCAAGATGTGGTCACTCAATCCACGACTGTCTGTGGGACACTGCTGTGCACAATTGGCTGCTGCGTTTCGCCCACAGAAACACACAGTCAATCCACTTTACAATGTATTCTGTGAAGAGCATTGAGCTGAGATAAGGTACTGTGTCAAATGCAAGTATTATTATTAAAAAAATGTGTCGAAGGCATCAGCCTGGACATGTCGACAGTGTGACTGACTACTAATATTTATGGTCTGATCAATGGCTGATTAGCTAACTGCCGTTCAGTACATCAGTCAGAAGGAAAATGTCAAATAAAAATAGAAGACAGAATAGGAGGAAAAACAATATTCGAGCGCGAGTAAAAAATGTTTGAAAACCAACATTTGTAATTAATACTGCAACAACAAAGGTGGTGCCCCTCACTGAACACCCACACCTTTCAAGCACACTCCAAAAGACACCTGCAATGAATGTGACACTCAGAATCGCCCACACCTCTCGCTTTCACGCTCACAGTGAGGGATGGGGTGGGGGGGGGGGGGAAGAGAGCACTCTCAGAAGCACCCCAAGCTACAGTTTACCGTTTATTCAGGTATTAATAATAATCCTTGCATTTGATATGTGTATATATAGAGAGAGCCTTATTATGTCTTCGAGACGTCTCAAAGCTCTTCACAGAATATAAAGTGAATTGACTGCATATTTTGTGGGTAGAGAGAATGTTGCTTATCCTGGTAGGCTGTCCTGGTTAATGACCAGTTTAATTGGTTATTCACCTCAACGTTATATGTGGGTCGCTGTGGCTACTCCATTTGGCTACAGTTTACGAAAATAAACATCCTCTTCCTGAGAGGAGGAGTGGAACCTTACTCATTTCAGAACTGCCTTGTGGAAGTGGTGAGGCTGTCAGCTCCCTGCACACCTTCCCACTCTCAAGGCAAATGCATTTCAGCTTAAATCTTCTCGGTCAAATCGCTGCCATTTGTCAAAGATACCGGGCGCACACCTTGATTTTTAATATAATAAATTTCACCCCCAACCGTAACCCGTGATGTAAGCTTCGATTTCCCCGGCGAGACAACAGATCATCACATTTCTCGGCTTGCTTTGCCAGTAAAGCGTGAGAAACAAAACCGCTTCCACTTATGCGAAGAAACAACAAGTGAATGTTTCTGCGAAGTGAAGGGAAATTTCCATTTGTCGCCGTTATTTTGGTTCCCGCAAACACGGCAGTTTTTGACTGCGTGAATAAGCACACAAGCTCTCAGTGCATGCAGTTTATGTTTGCTCCCTATTGCTTTCTGCAGGGCCAGCCTTCTCTTTCCTTTCCCTTGACCTTTGCTGCACTGCTGATGCTATTAACATGACCCGCAAACAAACTGTGCTCGTGAAGGATATTGAACTATCACCCTGTCACAAGTGTGAGTGTCAAAAGGTTAAGAGGCTTTGCACGTTCTACTCTTACACACACTTTGCGACTTGAGGGGCAACAATTGACCATAAATGCAGAATTAAGCTTCCATTTGGCAATCTTGGGGCAAAATAGAAATGCACATTTAGCTTACAGAGGGCACATTGCAGAGTAATCATAGTGGTGCAGTCTCCTCCAGCACTGTGGTATATCACCCCGTCAATGTATTTAATTAACTTGATAAATGTAAAGGCAATAGAGGGGCAATAAGGGTATAGGAGAGGGGAATATGTGAGGTTAGGGGCTGGTGGCCATTGGTTGTGGCCAGTTTCCGTGCAGTATCACAGAAGAGTAAAAGGCCATCTCTGGGTTCACCCACAAAATACACAGTCAATCCACTTTACTGTATACTGTGTGAAGCGATTTGAGACGTATCAATAAGGCGTTATATCAAATTAAAGTATTATTATTATCATCATCATTATTATTATGTAACTCTATGGAACCCAGATATGGCCAAAGGCCACTTCCCCAGAACTTTGGCAACACCATCTGCCTTTGGTCGCTGTGGTCCAAGCTCTCGCCACAACTAATCAGCGATGAGTTGTACCTGTTGGTTGATTGTGCAGACTTTCCACTGTGACCAGGAGAGAGAAGGTCCTCAGCCAGAAATAAAGCATCTCAATTCACAAATTCAATGCGAAAGTGCAATCACCTTGGTTCTGTGAAACTTCCCTCCTTCCCACCGTGTAAATGAAGCAAACATAACAGAGTGTCTCCCGGGATATTAATTTCTATTACAAGCCACTGAGCAATGCAAGCAGAGACCATAAAATAAGTTTATGACTCAGTTTACGGTGTGGCTCATCAAACCAGCCTCTGCTTTATGATATGAGTCACTCTGAACTTAGCCTCTCTTCTTCCACTGGCTGCTGTCTTAAACCAGAAAAGGCGCAAACTTTCTGCGTCCGAAGGCAGGCTGCGTTGTGTGGTTTCGAGTCGATTCTGGTCTTAGGTTTAAAAACAGAGTTTGCTAAACATTAGAAATCTCTTCAGGAGATTGTACAACTGCAGGACACCCACTATCTTCAATGACATGAACTGCCAAGACTTCAAATGCAAGGCAAGTTGTCCACCACCACCACCACCAGGACAACAACTTCCATTTATGTATGAAAAAAAACGGCTCACACCTCAGAAAGATGTCCTAAGGCTCTGGGTCTAAATCAGCAGCCCGCGTTTCCAAAACTTACCTATAAACTCATGCAAGAAGACGAGAGAGGCGATGTAGGAGCTGAGGCTGAGAAGCTCTGCAACCACCATAAGCCAGTGCCATGTCTGGATTGTGAGCGCTACCATCAGTAACTCAGTGAGAATGAGCGAGGTGAAGGAAATGGCCACCACATGTACAAACTCCGAGTCGAACAGCAGCAGGGCTCCGTACATTATAATGCCACCTGGAGGAGCGAAGCAGAAAAGGATGGAGTTACAGGATATCCATGTTGTACAGGAAAAGAGATTCCCAGGTCCTGGCGGATTCCCCGCCAGCCTTTGAAATGAGGGCGAAGCAAATCAGCCTCTGGATCAAGGCATCGCTTTGGTCGAGGGATTGGCATGAGCCTATGAACCCTGGTGGGGAGAGGCGCGAGTGTGTTAACACAACTCACAGCTCTTCCCCTTCCCCCTTTCCCCTTATGAAAGAGTCTCTCTTTCCCCCTCCCTTCCTCTCCCCCACCATATGGAACAGCCGCCACGTGAGCCTGTACAGTGAGGCTCCCACGGGAAGAAATACAACAGGTTGAGGTGGTGGAGCATTTTAATGAGCTGCAATGGTGGAATACCTTCAGCTGCTCCTCAGCATAAGTTTTTGGAAAGAGAAGGAAACACAGGAGTAAACTGTTTAGGACAAAGTTCTGCTAAAATTGTTTTTGATTGCTTTGGGAGGCAGTAAATTCTGCTTGGTGAAGCAGGTGACCGAAATCACACAGTCTTCTACATAGGTGTAAGCCAACCTGGAATCAAAATTGCCTTCCAGTCATCAATCCTTAAAGATTGAATTATATGGACAGGGCATCAACTATTATTTTGAAACATATCAAAATCAATCTGCTCCTGCTCCTTACTCAGACCTGGGGTGGTGTGTGATCTGTGTGCTAGCATTCCTTCGACCGTTATGAAGGCATCTCACGTATTTGTACCCAATATATGGGTCCTCGGCCACCCCCACTTTTGCTCCCCTCTCTACCCACAGGCTCCGATATTCAACAGCGTAAAATACGCAATTTCCATACCTTGGTATATGCTAATTAAAACCCATATCAAAAAGGTTTTGAAGCAGAGTGGTCGACCCTGAAAGAAAGAAAAGGACAAGGTCACAAGCCTGAAAATTCTATAAGTTGCCTCGGTTCAGTTTAGAGAAGACCTCCTATGATTCAACTTGGGGTCAATTTGCACCATTTGCAAAGTTCCTGCTTGAATTGCGATTTACGGGAATCGACTGTATTTGAGGGTTCCCGATCCGGAAAGCAATAAAGGCTTTTTTATTCTCCGATCTTTTGACGAGCTTTCAGATCTTTTCTCAGCCTGCACACAACCTGAAAACAAAACACTGTCCTCGCGAGTTTTAGCCCAACACAAGATGCAATCACCACAATAAGGTGTCACGCTGTCCACTCCCTGAATTGGTATCAGTTTGTCCGTCTGCAGCAGAACACAGTTTTCTGGGATTAATCCTTCAGCAATTACCAGCAATGATTAGTCTTGCAACCTTATAGCTGTTTTAAATAATCAAATGCAAATGGTAGCCCCATTGAAAAAAATGAGCAAGAAAATTTCTGCACTTGGACAGTGCTTTAATCAGAATTTCACCAAGATACTTGTCTACCACGAAAACACCCTATCTACTGTCCAATCTCAGAAAAACTATGATGAACAGTCCTGATAGTCTGGTAAAGCACCCGTGTGCACAGGTCTGTAAAAGGATGTTCTTCAACAACATGAAACTGTATATTTGATCTTAGCGCAGATTAATTGCAGGATGGTCGCTTCCTCTCTGTGTACCTTAGTAAGATCTTTGTAGAGTTCTGGATACAGCATTGCCACTTCAGACTTGACATCCTTGTCCAGCACCAGAGAGAAGACTGGGAACATTGTATAAATGGTGGAATAGCTGGAAAGATGCAAACAAAACATTAGCTTCCATTTGTCCATCGCACTTTTCTCTGTTAGCGCTCTATCTGCCCTTGGGATGCACTGGATAATTAAGTTTCTAGGAGTAAATCTTAGTCGCTCTTTACTCTTTAACGAACAGCATCTTTACAGTGGATCTGGGTAACTTTAATAAGGATTGAGAACATGCATCAAAACGTACTTAGCTAGACCTACTTACCCAATAACGAGGAATCCTTGGTACAGAGGAATGGATGCAAAATAAAATACTGAAGAGAAAACAGCCTGTGAAAAGATGAAGAGTCAGTCACTGAACTGAAAATAGGACAGTATCGGTTTCAGAGGCAGACTGTTACTCTGCTACTTGATGCAGGACTGCAGTTAGGTCATGTTAGACTGGTATTGGATCTGGACCAGCAACCGAAGGGATACCAGTCTAGGTCTATCGCCAATCATATAACAATACAGGCAATAGACTAGTGCATTGGTGTTTGTGCATTAAAGTTTGGGGCTATTCGATTCACCTATATGCAACACATCTGTCCGAACATATTTGGAGATTATGACTTTAATTCACTGTTAGGTGCGATTCTGATTGAAATATTCTGTGTAGGACTCAGTATATCAAGATCTCCTGCACTCGATGACTGCAATTGTTGCTCAGGATGTTTAAGCAGCACTAATCTGAGTGAACAGCATTTTTGCTCATCCTAAAAATTATACAAAATGTTCCCATAAGCAGCGGAAGGTGCTACCGTTCTATGACATCCAAGGAGCAAGCAGTAGGGGAAGTGTACAACAAAGGAAAGGGACAGCGTTGGCAACTTTTTCCAAAGTTTACATTAATAATCCCAACAGAAAGTGACACTTGTTTACAAAATTTTAAGTTTTTGTAGATAAAAGGTTACATATTTCTCACGATAAGTCAGATCCGATTCTTATATTCTCTGACAAAGGGCATAGAAAACAAAAGGCTGTCATCTGGAACTCAAATATTTGCCAGTGGCCTTTTTTTTAAAATACATACGAAATGTCACTCTGATTTCCTCTCTCACGTAGTGCACATTTGCTGAGTCGCTGCCAAATTTGCAATGAGCCTTGCACTGCCACGCATCTCGACTGTCAAAGGTCATCAATGCAATGATCTGCAGTATGGATTAGTCATGAGCTTTTTTATTGCTTTACACGCAGTAGAACCCAAACTGCCAAAGTGGAAGGAATTCAGAACAAACGCTTGGTACAATAAATCATTGTGCTTCCGTTGACAGTGGTTCCAAGCTAATGTGGGCCCGTTAAGAGCAGGCTCCTGGGTTTCCGAATATTAACCTCCACATGGTCAATTTTACGCTGTTTGGGAAATGCACTAACCTCCAACTCCTTACACATTTTTCCTGTTAGAAGCGCACCCTGTTAAAATGAGTACGTTTACATTTATTGACCGGCAACAAAAAAAAACACACCTCAAAATCCCCATATGAAATTTTTAGACAACCGCTTTTGAAGACAAGTTATTCAGAGCCAATCTGTGGAAAGAAACTAGTTTTTTTTTTGCTCTCTGCTCTAGATTCACTTCCTACGTGATTCTGCATTTTTAGAGATATCGCCTTGGTGTCCCTTGCATGACAAAGAGATGTTAAAGCCTTCTCTATGTGGAACATAAAATGCACCTACATACAGTACTTCACATCTGGTATCACAGGACAGGAACGAGATGCACAGAGCCTGGATTACCTGCATTGTGCTGATACACAGGCTTCTGTGAATCACAAACTGGCTGAGCGCAGCCGACCTCTTGTAGCTGTTGCGTCCATGAACCATCAGTAATCTGCCCAGGTGTTTGAACTGAGTGATGGAGAAATCTGACGCTAGGGAGGCCTGCTTTCCTTCCTGAATGAGAAAAGAGAGAGAGAGAGAGGTGGTAACATATTAATGCCACGTTTTACGGGAATGTCTCGATGTTTCACAATTGGTTCTACTGAACATTATTTCTAAAATGACTTTAGCCCAATTGGTATACAAATGAGGCATTCAAATAATAACGATTTACATAGCGTCGTTAAGAGGGGAGTTCCAAAGCATTTCGCACAGCTGACTGGGATCCTGAGCTGGGAGAGGGGAGGATTGGTGAAAAGTTGGAAAGAGTTTTGAAGGCGGACTTTAGGGGTGTGGAGAGGGGGGCGAGGAGGTCAAAGAATGATCCGTGACTCACTTGCAATGGGAAAGAATGCAAAAAAGTCTTATTGCAGCATTTATTGTCTGCCTCAGAAGAGATGTTAAGAACGACAGCATTCCATTACCCCCAGTGTTGGGAAGCACACACAAGCTGCATCGGATTTGCCCCTGAACAAACTTTACATCTTGGGACAAAAAACCCAAGTCTCACCCTTGTACATTTCTGGATTCTTTTCTGAAAACAAAAGCCATTCCGCCTTCCTTGTGCATAACGGAACATTCACATTTTCAATCACGTCAAACAGATATCTAAAATCTCTTGCAGTCGTTACAATGTCATGGGTTAAGTGCTATATTATTCCCCATGTATTGGACACACGACTTTTTAAAAGATAAAATGAGAAAGAAAAAGAATATACACAGGAGCAGATGATTAGAGGGTTTGTTTTAGTCCAAGGCAGAGACATAGGCAAGAACACAAAAAAACAGACAAGTGACAGCAAGAAGCCAGAGACAACAAGAACAGGCTGCTTCATGTCCCATGTGTGCTCCACCCCACGCTTGATGGGTAAACCTTCAACCCCTCTATCCCCATTCTTTGCAAATTCATCCCCAGAGTCGCCTTCAAACCACTCTCTTCTCCACAATTTGGCCACCTTTCACACACACACACACCTCTCCCCCTCCCCTCCCATATTCAGACTCTAAGTCAGTTGTGTGAAGCACTTTAAGACTTCGTCAACGTGAAAGCTGCTGTAGCTAAATGCTGAAATGCAGATTATAAGATCATCTATGTTTCCAATAAGCCAGTTTCACCCTCTACCATGCAAGCCGACTTGTATAATTGCTAATAAAAACAAAGCACTTCTCAAGATCGTTTGATCCGAGCAGTTTTATTTGAAATCTGTTCTTCGGTCTGTTTCCACAAAGCCTCAGAAGTGACAAAATAACGAAGCACTGAAATTGTTCCAAAGTGACCTTCCTTAGGGCTTTCCTTTGCTTACAAGCTCCTGCCAGGGGAACATTACGCACATCTCCTTTTCTCCTTGAAAAACCACCTTCCTCTGTCCCGGGTTCCTGTATCTTGTCACCCCTCAGCCTCTCTGGACAGTGGCCTTTATCTTTCAAAAACATTTGTCTCTCCTCTTGATTTCTTTCTGTGAAAAACCGGAGTCTCGTACGTGAGAATTGTATTGTGTTCGATCAACTGCATTTCTTGTCCAGCACCAACCATTCAAATTGACATTGGGAGTGAATCAAGTTCAAATCAGCTGGGTTGGATAGCGATTGCAGCTCAGGCTTAAAATTGTTTTCCAGTCAGTCCAGCTTTCACACAGCAGTGCGAACAGGCATTGGAATGTACTCAGAAATGGAACATGCCATCGAGATAATTCCAACACTCCTACCTTGCCTTCAATCCCCACTCCGCAATCAGCCGCCTGGATCATGCTGACGTCATTGCCTCCATCGCCTGCCGGCAAAAAAAAAAGACACACACCTGCGTCAGACCCGCAACTCTTTTTTAAACCCAAGTCATGTCGGTTACTGTACAAAAAGTTATGCGTTTTTCCAGTCTCTGGCAACCTGGCACGTGCTGAGCAAGACTGAATTAGTTTAATTGTCAATAGCAACCCGTCAGCATAACCTTTTACGCACTGCGTGCTCATTCTCAAATTGAACAAATAATTTACAGTGAAGACAGAACGAGCTTAGCGGTAACATCTGTACAATCAAAGACCCCACTGTCCAGGCTCGTGTGTAGAATAGCTGATTTGAGTTCATTTCTAGAGCACAGCCAAGTGCCTGAGGATCCAGTAAATTCAATCTGTGCATTAGAACACCACTGATTCTTGGCTAGCCCATACATCTTGCCCAATATAGCAGAGACACTGAGTGCTTGCTAGCTCAGACATCCTGTCCACTGTAGCAGAGTCACAGAGTAATGGCTAGACCATCCCATCTGCCAATAATTGAATAGTCACTAAATCCTGGCTAATTCGTACACTCTGCCCACCATGGCAGTCACTGAGTGCCAGCTAGCTCATTCATCCTGCCCCCACTATACCAGAGTCACCGAGTGCTGGCGAGACCATACACTTTGCCCATCGGCTGAATACATCTCGATCTCTTGGATACAAGTTGCGCAGAGAAGCAAACGCACACACACACACACACACGACAGAAGCACTTTACAAGCGGGTGACAATTCTTACAAGTGTTGCTCGAATGTTCAGGGTGAGGTTTAAGCCTGGGGGCAGTGGGAGCTAACCCGGCAGTTATAAGTGTTGCTATCTTTGCTCTGTCCGTCAACAACCCCAACATAGGCGAAGGCTATGATCGCTAGTCATACGGCGTGCAATGTTCAGCCTGAAGGGTGACATCGCCATCTAATGGTCGTTAAGAAAACTGTTTCAAAGCAGGCGAGCGATGAGTTTGCGTGCCAGTGCAAAATATTGATCCTAATAGTAGGGCTGTATTTACATGCGAGTGTTGACTAATGTCGGGGTGTGGTTGTGTGGATTGTGGTTGCTCTGTTAGCTGCTTGCCCAATTGCCAATTCACAACTGATCTTAAACACTGTGGAGTCGATCTCACTAAAAATAGTGGATTTTTGCTAAAGTCTTACAATGGAAAATCTCACGCATTAAGCTTGATCTTTTACGAGTTCTTTCTCTCTCTCTCCCCACCCCATCCGCTTCCTAAAGGCAATGATTCATGTAGGGTTACATTCCTCCATCCAGAAATATGGTTCCACCAATGCCAGTCACCATTCAGTATGAGTGACCGTTTCTCTCAAATTTCCTTATGAAGCATAGCAAGGTGTTTTTTTTTACCATGGGGGGGTGATCTCAGCAGAGTCCAATGATGTCCTGTACATGTTCTTTCAAAGAGAGATCGCTGGATGGCGATCAGGAGATGGAACTCCCAAACTACCACCTCTCTAGCACAGAAGCAGAGGTCAATTGTTGCTGACAAGACTGCTGGCCCAGCAGATGTCAGCTAACAGACAGGGCACGAAATCAGAGGAAAGGTCTGTGTAGCTCAGTCTCACACCAACCATTAGATTTACTAAACGATCATGAAGATGCATCTAGAGATGTCCCTCTGGAAACACTTCTGTTCGAACAATTAACAATAAGGTCTGAAATCTTCTGCTGCTCTTAAATGCACATTCACTGCACCGGATAACAACTCACACTTTTTTTTTAAAGAGTCGTTTCAGCATTAAAGTGTCTACCAGATGGAAGCTTAGATTTATTGTGCCCATAATGAGTTCAGTTTATGCCTTACAGTATCTCTTATGCGGTCTCCACAGAATAATAATAATAATAATAATCCTTGCATTTGATATAGCGCTTTTCACGTCGGGAGGACGTCCCAAAGCGCTTCACAGAACACACTGTAAACTGAATTGATTGTATATTTGTGGGCGAACACAATTGAAATTTCATAGCAATGACTGAAGACGCTAAAGTAACTTTGAAACCATCCTCAGAGGGTGTACTATTATTAGAGGTTGTAGCGTTTAGCGGGTTGTAATCTTTGACGAGCGACAAGATTGCCTCATTCCTACGAGGCTGTTTGACATAACCACTAATGCAGCACACAGCAAAACCATTGAACGTAAAGGAGAGAGAGAGAGAGAGAGAGACAGAGAAGCTATATGACTGAATGTTTTCTTATGGTCTGACATTCACTGTCTAAGCATCTAAGCCACAATGGAAAAAAAAGAACAACAGCAGGAGGTTTGTGGTTTCTTACCCACTGCACACGTCAGTTTGCGAGTCCTCTGCTGCAACAACCGAATGATCTGGGCTTTCTGGGTTGGAGCGCATCGACAACAAATGACCGCAGGACACTGGCAGGCCAACTCCATGAACTCGTACTCGTAGAACTTCAGGCACACCTGCAAGAACAAAAAAAAGCACAAGGGGTAAGGGAAGGAGAGGTGCTTACGACAGCAGCTATGACGGTATAGTGCATACCAAGGCTGTGATGCTTCCACACTCAGTCCAGGGCCCTCCTCGGCTTGGCTGGCCTCACTGGTTGAAACTGAAATGCAACCAATTATTTTGCAACAGCCGCGGTCTGTCCCCATTTCACACCCGCAGCCCCTAGCCCCACTTTCAGGTCTTGTACAAACGAACGCAGAGAGTAAGCGTGAAACCCTCCCCCCCCCCCCCCACCCCAAAAAAAAAATCAGACTCATTCTGCTATTCCGAGGGAGGTCCCTAAAAGAACGTATTGTTTGTTTTTAAGCTCTGACGCTTCTTGAGTTTACGCAACAGGGACCTCACCAGACCTCACCGGATCCAGGCGTTATTAACAGTCGATGGCTTAGTAGAACCACACCCCAAACCTCCAAACGCAAACCATCCGAGAGGAAAAAGTATCTCAGCTAAGCTCTCTCTCTCTCTCTCTTTCTCACTCTGCCACTCCACCTCTTCCACCTCAGCTCAGGCTTGGCTTGACATCAAGTTCGCTCCTTCCAGTCAACCACGTGGGCGAATGAACTGGTTCTCTCGCCTTAATTCCCAATAGGAAACAGCCGGGCACGAGATTTCCCAATCCCGGCTACACCTACTCCATGGAATTCAACCCCTGAACTCTCGATCCCAGATCTCTCCCGGTCACCGAGACACGGCTCACAGTTTTAGGTGTGTTTCGGCCTCGCAAGCTCAAATTCTGCTGAACTGAGGAACTGAATTATTAGCCAAAAATACAGTTTGTGAGTTTTGCTTAAAAAAAACCAAAATATACTGCAACGGCAGCAAAATCTCCTTTTAGAAATCTAGTGCAACCCTGTTAAAATACACTTTACTATATCAGTTATAACGAGGTTGGAACAAGGATCGCATTCACAATCCATACTCGCAGCAGGCCTGCTCTCTACCCATGCGCCAACTGGCTTTTCGCATTAAAATGGCCAAGTTCCTGGTCATTAGGTCACCTTTGATGTCACGTCCTGCTTTATTATGCATGCTCGAATCAAGCAAGTGCCATCTACGGCGATCGAATGATCCAGAAGTCGGCCAATCAATTTGAGGGCTTCGGGAACCTCACAGCAGAAGGTGAAGGACCAGTATTCAAACTGATATCTACTGGGAATTAAAACAAACACTCACCTCTAGCGAGTCTCCAGATATTACCAATGCACAATCGTGTTTCCTCCTGAAAGCGTTCAGTTCCAGGTGAGCTTCTCCTCGATTAGTAACCTAAAGTTTAAAGGCATTAACGGATAAATGACTGAACATTTCGTCAAATTAAAACGGCTGACACCAGCAGTTTAGCTCACAGTCAGATCTCGTAGCCTCCTGCTGGCTTCTCATCAACATAACCAGATGGAAGATCTGGTGGGACAGTCAATGGAACCTGTTAATTGAAGACCATTTTCTTTTATCAAATGGGCATCAACTCTCAAAAAAAAATGTTGTTTCGTTTTGCTGGTGACACACGAAGATTTCGGTCTAGAGAAACGGTACATTCCACCTTATAGAAGGCTGTCGGATGCCTTTGTTAATCCAGCTGTCATATCAAAAATCCATGCCAAGGAGAAATAGTGACAATAATGACCATTACACATTGACTATCGGAGGATATCTCAAAGCGCTTCACAGGATATACTGTCGAGTGGGGTGACAGTGTTTTTGTGGGCAAATGCAGCAGTCCACTTTCGCATAGTAATGTCCCGCAAACAGCCATGAAATGACTGAGCAATTTTATTTGCGGGATTGTGGGCCAGGAACGAGGCAATTACAAGCAATACTCACAGTCCGGAAGATGTGGATATCCTGATTCCTGGTCACAAGATGTGCATTCTTTGCCGTACAAGTTGCCGTTTCAAGTTTGTCCCCAGTGAGCATCCACACCTGGAAAGAATGATACATATATTATTTACACACATACACATATTGTGCCTTGATAGAAGACACATAAATGACACCCATCTTCTACATTAGTCTATTAACAGGGAACCGACCGACGCAGGGTGTTTGTGGATTGTGTTTGAACAGTTGGGAATGAGTCTTTAGCTCAACCCTCTTCACAACAACAAGAAATTACAGTTGTACAGCGCCCTTCACGTCAGGAGGACATCCCAAGGCGCTGGACAGTCAGGGCTCCGCACCTGAGCTGGTGGTTGGGATCAGGAGTGGTCGAGGGCGGGGAGGGGAGGGGGCAAGAAGGTGACCGAAGGCTCGGTCGAAGAGGAGGGTCTTGAAGGAGGCACAATGCACATTCTGACGGTCTCTCAGGGCCTGGTTATCCTACCTTTATCCCCGCGTTCCTCAGCATCTCCAGGGTGGGCCTGACGTCAGCCTGCAGCTGGTCCTCCACTCCAGTCAGACAAAGCAGCTCCATCTCCATCTCCAAACTCTCTATCACAGTCGCCACTTTCAACGAGCGGTCGTGTACGCTCAGCTTCGCCTGATTGTAACGGTTCTGGGGGAAAAACATCAAGGAGACTTTTGTTCTTAAGATTTTTTTTACATAGAAAAATCACAAAGCTGCTGGTAAATGGCCAAAAAAAAAACCCCCACCTGTTCGCAAGCACACCTCCACATAACCACGGGAATCGAAGCTCAGCGCAATTTGTTCCCTCCCATTCAACAACAACTTCCATGTATATAGCGTCCTTCACATCAGGAGGACGTCCCAAAGCCCTGGACAGTCAGGGATCTGCATCCGAGCTGGTGGTCGGGATCAGGAGGTGTGGAGGGAGGGAAAGGGGTGACTCAGGCTGGGGGGGGGATTGGGGGTGTGCTTCCACTGGTGCCAGCCGACAAGTCACCAGTTGCTTGTTCTTCAGGTGCAGTTCCAGATGGCCAGCAGGGCATTCGACCTCTGGAGTGGGGAACGGTAAATCACACCGGTCTCGGTGCTCAACACTGTCCGCATGTGCCCTTTACAGCAATGATCATTGGATAGTGGCCAAGCGAGGCACACCACAGCTGAGAGCAGTTAGGTCAAGCCAGAGCAGGAAATGAACCTTGACCTGACATCAGGCCCGCCCTAGGTATAGCTCGGTTTATACACAAAGTGCTGGACTCGTAACCAACCCACAAAGGGTCGTGTAACCCTGACTTCCTGACAGTGGATTCAAATGGAAGTGGAATTACCTCAAAATCCTGATACTGCTCCTCTGTCAGGGACTTCTTGGCCACCACTAGAACTCGGAGACCTTCTCTGGCCATGTTGCCGCACTGCAATCAAACATTAATCAGAAGATTAACGAGAAACTAGCTCTGTAGCGACACACTTTTAGAAACTGCGTACGTCAAAGATTTGCTTTTTGGTGCTGACTGGCCAGTTTCCACATGTGCAGGAAGTGTGACCGGCCACCACTTTTATTTCACTGTACGGAAAGTGTCCCCAATCTACCGAGGCTATCCATGAACTCACGCTATGCAGCAAGTCACATTGCAAGGGTTGAACTGTGCATTTTTTAAATTATAATAATGATATTAACAATAACCCTTACATTTGATACGGCGCCATTCACGTCAGGAGGACGTCTCAAAAGTGCTTCACAGGATATACTATAAAGTGGAGAGACTGTGTGTCTTGTGGGCAAATGTATTTATTTTATTGCTCATCACCCAACTCCATTGTTTCCACTGTGCCAGCAATTCTTGCAGTGAATACTTATCTGTGTGACTTGTGTGCTTAAGGCAGTAATTGATCTTGGTGGGATGACTCAAGATTTGCTACTACGATACAAGGCATTGGTAAAACCTTCAGCCTAATATATTGTCTTTATAGTACGATCACTCTACAGGAATATTACAGAGCAGCAGTTTTAGTAACAGCAGAGAAAGGCTCTTCCACATCCGTGCCATGATCAACTCTACCTTCGCCCACATCTTCTCAAACTTCTGGTATCAATATAGAAGCACTTCAGCAGAACACAAAACAGAAGTATCACGAACATTATGGAGAACGAGGTAGACCGGTAACTCAGCCCGACAAGTATTGGACTTTTTGTCTCTCTGGTTCTGTATTTTCATCACTTCAAGTCACTTTCGTACAGCCATCAGAGAACATAATTTTTTTAAAAAAATTCTGAGAAAAAGTACAGAGCATCATATTTCCAGGAATATTATTATTATTAATATACAAAGCTAAAACCTTGCTGCCGTCTTTGCGTCAATCTTTGTTACGACTAATAACAAATTAGGACACATACCTCTTCTTCAAGCCAGTCATTGTACTGAACAATTCCCATCATCACCACATCAGCTCCCTTCATGTAGAATGTAACCTCTCCCGTTGATTCATCCTAGTCAAGAAACAGGTACAATAACGATGAGGGTGAGGAACTTAGAACAGCCCCACCATTTTGCTCAAGACTGAATACCTCAGTTTCGCAACTTATTATATATAATATTTATATTTGATATAGTGCCTCATCACATCGGCGAGACATCTCAAAGTGTTTCATACAAATTAATGTAAAGTCTCGCGATTGGGATTTGTAGATGAACAAAAGTACTAATTTATTTCTGATTTTCAGATATTTATCTAATTGCCTCTTAAATGGTGATAGGGAATCTGCTTCAACTACAGTTCCAGCTAGGCACACTCCATGTCCTTACAAAAAATATTCTTCTAACCTCTCCCATCTGCTCTTTTGGTAATTGCCTTAAATCTACATGCCATCATGCCAGCTTCTGATAGTACTATAGTACTGTCCCTGTCTGTTGTTGCTAAGTAACAGAATCATTGGCGTGTGTGACTTTTATACCTCTTAAAATCACACCTTGCGCTGCCAAAATTTCACCAGATTGGGATTGGTGCATCGATTCATAGAACAGGTTTTGTAGAAGTTTGGCACAGTAAAAATTCACAGCAGGGAGAGGCATGTGAAAATTTGTCTGGAAGTTAAATAATTCAGCTGAAGTATCAAGTAAGGGCAGAATTATTCCAGTTTTGGTCCAATTACAGAACAGGAAGATAGTCTGTAGCTTGTGCTGAAGCATAGACCCTGCAAAGATTAGCAATCAAACAGCTCATCGGCTGGTTTTTTTTCCACACACCGCAAAGCAGCAATACAGGAAATGATATTGTTCTAAAAATATTAGCTGTATTATGTGAGTTCTGTAAACGTGTGTGTATAAGAGTCAATTACAGGTGCCCTAAAGTATGTAATTAATCAATGTAAAGGATTACAGGGACTTGACACTTGTAAACCTTTTAATTGGTTGTTAATTACACAATTAAGGGCACACAAAAGACAGACACATGGTCTCAAGAGGTGCAAATGTAATCAGCTGCTGTAATACCCTCATTTACGGACAAACAGTAACTGGTTAACCGAATCTGTACGAATTCAACGTTGAATCATTTTCCTTCGCTTACTTTGACAATAATCCCCATCCGCTTGCTCTCGTACGTAAACGGAAACACCTGCAGGATACTAAAATTCAGAATCTGGCCACCAGGCGTCCTCAGCTGCATGGAGGATTGGTCCCGGCCGACCAGAGTCAGGCCAATGCTCTCCGTCCACTGCACCAAGGCCACCTGAAACACACACGAGAGAGGCACAGATCAGCCAGGCGATCGGAATTCAGAGTTCGAAGGTTACTGAGCTGAGCGGGTGGGGGCAGCTCATTGGAAGTAAACGAGTCACCCAATAAACACCAATTGTAACCGGACAGTTCCTTGCAGGATGTCCCCGTATTGTGGGCAAACGGCCTCCCTCGCTCTAACACTGTAATTTCCTGAGGGTGATCTTGAGCCGCAAGTGCAGCCGTTAAACCATTTTCTTACAATTAGCTGCAGAGACGGAGCAGGGTATAGAGCGGCCGCACGTTCACGCGCACATTTTATGTCACTGCGTCCAGCCCGACCTGCTGCAAACAGTGAAAGTTTTTTACGCTTGAGGTTGCAGAGCGAACCGTGGGGAGATCAGAGTCTCAGTTCAATCGATCGTGCAGTAGCCAAACTCAACTCGCCCAACTCAAAAAAGCAAAACTCATAACACACTAATAATACAAATAATATTCCACACTCCAACAATGGAGAGAAGGGGTTCTGGTGAAGGGAATAAACCTCAGCATTATATTCTAAATGATAATTCCTGAGGTAGAATCGAATCTGAGGAATCGAGAAGATTTTAATATTCTATTTCCGCTTCACTGGAGCAGTGATAGCTTACGGCACCATCTTTTTACTGAAATAGTCCAAAGGGATATAGATAAACTGAACCTCACTGCAATTGGTTCTAAAGCAAACCACCGGGTTATAATAGGAAACGACAGCTTCACAAACTGAACGGGCTCCAAGCACAGAAGAGGGAAACAGTTCAACTGCAGCCGCTGTACACACAAAAATGTAAATGGAATGGAGTCAACATTAAAACAGGTACAAAATTATACTACATGTGCCATTTCATATTTTCTTCCATTTGCCAAGCCTCCATTGGCCAGGCAGACTACCAACAACGACAACAAGTTGCACTTATACAGAGCCCCTCACGCAGGGTAACGTCCCAGAGAACTTGACCGTGGCAGAGAATGACTTCTATCACAAGTAGAAGGCTGGGTAATCTGTCAGGTCCTAGACATCCTACAATGACAATAGATGCAGGAGAAGGCTTACATTCTCGAATTCCTTCCTTGTTGTTGGGCAGTGTCAACTCTCTAGATGCTGACAACATGACCATCCATGTACTATAAGCAGGGAGTTATGGGCTGCTATTCGCAAGTCCCAACTGCCCGCAACATATACGCAGTCCAGTTGCATCCATTCATGTTTATTTCCATTGCAATGTTCATCACACACCAAAATACCTCCGTTAAGCCATTTCAATAACGCCAAACTCCTTTCTCAACTTGAGCTTTCCATTCGTAACTGATAGAATGCTGTCAAACATCATGAACAAAGGAGAATGGTTTTGAAGCTAATTTACTAAGAATGGTCTTTGAAATCTGACCACAGCCATCTAAATAGTACCATATCCAGGTTTTCCCAATTGTACAGTAGCTCTGTAACACATGGTAGGAATCCTGAGTGTAGACCTGGAGTTCACGCCTCAGGGAAACTGATCAATCCAGCTTCCTGACCTCAAAGTTGGGTGCATTCTGTCACAGCTCACGACAGAATGGGTAGAGATTGAGATAGACTGACAGAGGGTCATGGACCCGAAACGTTGACCCCACTTTCCTTTCTCCATAGATGCTGCTTGATCTGCTGAGGGTTCCCAGCGATCTTTGTTTTTGTTTGAGATAGACTCGTTCCTTTCATGAAGAGGATACTCACATCGATTCTCTGAATCTCACTACTTCACCAGTGCAGAGCACCAATGAACCTGGTCAAACAGAGACCTGGACAACTTAGGCTACTCCGCGCAGAGAGAAATATTCGTAAAAAATTGTCAGCCGAATGTGCAGTCAACGTGAGCATCAGTCACAGCGTGACATTAATATGGAATAGTCTATACTATCCGGCATCTTCAGCAATTGATGACCACATCAAAGTTCTCTCCCACTCACCCTCTCTTCAAAACCATTTGCATTTGCACCACCCCTTAGGTTTCCAGATGGCAGAGTGAGGACCGTCACTGAAACTCTTAAAACTTCCTTTACTCAAATGAACAACCAGGGTCCAGTTACAGGTCACGGCCACTTTTGTTAATAAATAACATTAGCCCACTTTGCTTACATCTTTGACCTCTCGCCCTACAACCTGACATTTGCCTACCCCAAGATACTACAATGCAATGTCAAGTCAACAAAGGCCATCTTGAATGATTGCGCTGACAGATTAGGTTGCTTACTGGAAGTGTGACTTTAAATAGCAGCTCTCGCATGCAGTCAGCCATGCCTGGTGAATGGTACGTTTGTCTTTCCAACAAGTTGCTGGTCCGCTCTGATATCACTCGCCCAACTCCACGGTGCTTACTTACAGGTGCAAAAAAAACCACGAGTCCAACGAGGAATATTTAATATTATGGTCAACGTTATAGGTTTCAACAATGGAAATAGCCTCACATGGATATCCGCAAACTGTCTAAAGTTCTGAAAAGGTTTAGCACATGGTTTGCATTCTGCAGCAGACAGTTAAGAGTTTGTTAAAGTTGAGTGGGAGAAACACTGGGAGAAAAAGAGAGGGAGGGGGAGGGAATGAAACACTAAATTCTTGAACACACTAATTAAAGACCACATATTGAAAACCACATCCTTCAAAGAAACCATTAAGGAATAAGCGGTACACTGGAATTCAAAGAATCTTTACACGTTCAAAATAAAGTGATCGAACCTCTCAAAAGCTAGAACTGGGGTGCAATTAACCTTTCTTCTTCACTAATTTCCTTTTTTTAAAAAATTTTTGTGCTCAATAAAACGCTGCAGATCCATTCTCCAGCTAATGATAGTATTGAATTACCAAAGGTCAAGCATAGTCTGATGGTACGTACACTCTCCCCCCTCCCCTATTTGTACCACCCAGATTCATCCAAGCTCCAGCTATCGCACAGCTCTCTCTCTCTCTCTACTGTACACATCAGGCATGGTCATTAGTAATGGACCATAAAATGCTCTTTGAATAAGATGGGAAATATGGTAATTTGTGAATAGTTTTGTCCTGTGGATTCTAGATCATATTCAAGCCAAAACCACTGTGCTGGAGTGTTTAGAGTCTTTTTTCAAATCAACAACAACTTGAATTTATATAGCGCCATTCACGCAGAGTAGCGTCCTGGAATACTTGACAGTAGCGAAGTCTGAGCCTTCATTCAAGAGTCACTGCTTCCCTGAAACCCGACTCGGTTAGTAGAGCAAATGGGCCGACTTCCCTCGACAATCTCCCCTGCAGATCAGTAACATCTGTGGCTGAAACATGTCCAACACTGCAGCCGCCCGCCACCTGCATCTACTCAGGTCAGGAGAGTAGGGCAGCTTCTTCTCCCCACAGCCTTCAGCCACTTGCTGTAACCCCCAATGCTTTTTTGTTTGGTAACTATTCAGAGGGGGATGGATAAGGGAATGATTAAAACAAAATAATCTAACAGAAGAGTGTAAATAATGTGCTATCGTACCAAAATGGCTTGGCTCTGTCCATTTTTATTTGCACAAAATATACTTAACGAGTTTTGTGAGGGGTCGATTTATTTCGCTGTCAATTTGCTTTTCATTCCTGTTACCAAATGACGTGAGAGTTACATTCGGCGAAAATACTTGACTCAGTTGGTGAATGTAGGCTGCCTCCCCGTACAATAAATGGACATTATTATTACCAAAATCAAATCTGCAGGTGGTTGCCGGGAAGTAACACACTAGTTAGTAAATATCGGAAATCATGGATGAGTGGTAGAATCGTAGAATGAGTAGCTGCCATCAGTTGAAGAAATACAATCTCTTTAAATAAGAAAAGCCTGAATCATCTCTCCAGTTATAAACGACTAGTATTGCCACATATCAGAACTGTGCACTGTCCACACACTCATTCAGAACATGCTCTATACACAACACGGTGGATACTGCTGCAATACTGAAACAAGGATTGCAATAGGCTTTCAGGTCTTCAGCTCTTAAAATCTGGCCAAGAAAACAAACCCAGTCTCAGTCAGCTGGGCTTTCTTCAGCAGCATCTCGAGGTATTACCGATAAAGACATTAGGTAAGCGTTTAATCAGGAAGCCAAATCGCTTCTCGGAAACATGAAATCATCTCCACACACACTGGTCGCACATTCTGTGTTGCGTTAAATTTTTTCAGACGCTTTTAACTCCCGTTGAGCAAGCCTCCTACAAGATGAAGGACAATTCCATCTTATAAACTGTAGATCACGTCATTGTTCTACAACGATCACCTCGCAAACCCCTGGCCTTGTAGTTATCCTCCTGTTTGGTGTGATAAATACTCAATATCTTAGAAAGTGAGTGAAAGTAAAAATCGTAACAGTAATCTCAAAAGACTTCTTTCGCACACTTCTACTGGCTAATTTCAATGTCATTACAAATTTAGTAAGGTTGCCACCTGCTCATCTCCCTTGATTCGCCCACAAAAATATACAGTCAATTCACTTTGCAGCATACTTTGTGAAGAGTTTCAGACGTCTCAAAGGCGAGGATTATTATTAATATTGATTGGCAATAAGAGCATGGCATGGGATAAGACATCAAGGAGAAAGGGAAGAAAAATCTGAATACCTTGAAGAAGTTTCGCCTGCAAAGTTTCAACCAGAAAACGGATATGTTTTAAAACTCTCTCATCTTTAATATATATATATATATATAAACACACACACACACAGACACACGGGGCTACTTAGCTGGTTTAATGAAGGAGCTGCAAATGTGCTCATTACTGAGACTCATGCAAATCATGGCCTATACAATAATCTTGAATGTAGGTTTATCAGTTTTGCTTCCCGCACAGAAAATGGCCATCTTCTGGGATTAAATTATCATTAAAGATCAAACCCAGCCTTTCACCTTTGACCCTGCGGTGCCAAAGATTTGAAAAGGCACTGAACATTCAGATGACCTTTTACAGTCCAGTTCCTGACCTCTGCACTCCGCAGTCGACTTACACAACTGCTTCCTGCCCCGTCATCCATCACTGAAACCAGGGTATTGAAGCTTTCTCTCTAAATGCGACTCGTGTGTCAAGCAGGAATGGCATTATTATGATTTCACTGTAGTTTAGCCAGAACCCTGAGGAGATATCGTATTTCTGACCTCTGATACCGCCCGCTGATTTAACATGCAAAAGAGGCTCGTTCAGTCATCTCTTTAAACAATGTCATCATCGGTTGTCCATCCTAAAAAAAAAGATATGTACTAATGTCTCTTCTCGTCTTCCTAAACTAACTTACAGCCTCCTCTGACACCAAGCTATTTAAACTTTGTGAACAAATCGACAAAAGCCCCTGTATTTTCTTACGGGCCATTGATGCTACAGTTTGTCATGGCTCAAGGCCATTTTAGAGATCAGCAGATAGTTGTGCGAAACTGGACAGGTGAGATCAAATGGGCTAAGGGGTGATTTATCCAAATCGCTTGTAAAAAGGAGAGGCAGCCGATTAGGAAATGTGCAAAATGGAATACTGTCCAACTCTGAAGTATCCAATCGTTTTGTTATCTTCAGATTTGGGTTTCCACGCTCAATACTGCCAACCCCATACATATATTAATAATATAATAATGCACTTCTGTACACAAATGATTTAATCACCACCTTTAAGATCAAGATAAGAGGTTGATGATCGGAGACTGTCAATTTGTAGTTAATTCTGAAGAGTTTCAGGAGTTAAAGGCACATCACCATCAAAACACATCAGAATCCAGTCCCAATAACTGAAGTCAGGCTGATCACAGGAATTAAGACCAATTGCACTGCATTAACCCTTTGAGTACAGTGCTCATTTCAACCATTACAGTATAACTAAACTAAAAGTGGAACTCTGACCACGAAAAACTCTACGAAGCAGATGTTCTGCATTCGTCAAACGCTACGAACTACCAATCAGAATTAAGAAAGCATTCTCGCCAATATTGTTTTCCCTACAATTAAAAGTACAGTCAGTGGGTTAAAGGGGTTAAACCTGCGGCGTCCTTCAGGGGAAGATGAAAAGGCAGCTGGACCTCTGCACAAAGATTCAGCCGTTAAAACCTTTCAAGGACATGACTGCTATAAAAGGTCACGGTGGACTTTATTGCCATCTTTGATATGTAAATTGGTCAGTCACTTCACAAACACAAACTTCTGTCTTTTCATAAGGTGACTAATGTTGGGGAAGGGCCTCAAAGGGTTGCTAAACCCACCTCCAGTAAAAAGACTCTCTACATAATGGCACAGGGAGTTTGTAGAAAGCCAGGTCTCCTTTAGATACCAAAATGGACTAAACAGATAGAATGGGAGTGTTGCGTTTGCAGAGCTATTGACAACTCCCGATAGAAAATCACAGAAATCCTTCTATCTATCAAATCTGGTGCAAGCACACAAATACAATGCATCTGTGCTAGGAACAGCAGGTTGGGATGTTCCCCCTCTGATTGCAGCTTCCCCTCCCTCTCTGGTCCTTCCGTCTCCTTTCATTTGTTTCTTACAATCTTAACCCCACTGTTAATAAAGTTTCAGCTACGAAGCTGCCAACAGAGGACTCCAGACATGTCACAGCTTGACCACCGGGGACTGCTCCTCAAGTAAGCATACGTTTCATTTGTTGCAATGCACACCGAGATAACATTTTCAGTCCACCCCTACAGTGAAGGTGCTGTTTACAGCAGTGTTATTTATTGAATAATTGCTTCTCTTCTTGTCAAAGTGAGGGTCTGCCAGTCAAAGCAGCGAAGGCTCACTCGATTTGGCCTCCAGCCACCACAGTGGTGCCCCATTTTCATACAGGGACGTAATCCACGTGTATATGACCGGCCACAAGCAGTAACTCTTATTCTTTGAATTAAAAAAAAGTCAAAAATAGAACGGTGATTTTGCCTGTGAATGTGCTGCATCTATTTCAACCATTTGGCCATTGCCAAAGGTTCTGGAAATGTTCCACTGTTCTGACACTAACTTATCTGCACATGGAGGGTGGGGGAGGAATTAAAATCAGACAACAGATGCTCCCATTTCCCACAACCGAAAAGTATTTGTGTCTGAAACGTCCAAGACTCAACAATGCATTCAAGCCAATGTAAAAACACCAGATGATAGAGCTTCAAATGGATTCCCACAGACACACCTTATTAAGTGGGGTCAGGACTCCTTATTAAGTAGAGTTTCCTTTCAGGAATCGGAAGCACATCAAGCAGGAACTCCACTCTAGATAGCTAATGTGGGAGCAGAGTTGCAGTGGATCAGAGTGACCCACTTCTGCTTTCCCCATTAAGGAATTCCGTTACAGACATTTTCGCATGTTGCTCCTCACGGACTCGAGACATGAAATCACCGCCGTACAGTAACAGGAGCAAAAGCTTTTTTTTAAAAAAACAAGTGAAATTATCTTTGAACAAAAAATATGATGTCAATTCTGTTACCTCCACCAGCTGTTTAGATTTGCAGTTCAAAAGAGTTTCTCAAACCTCTTTTCAGTGCATCTAATTTGCTTCGCATTTCTTTTGGAAACGCACTGTGCAGTGTACCAAAAACAAGGTCGTTCACTAGACTCTTAAACCGCATAGTCCATGAATATTTACCACTTTGCTCCATCTTTTATAGTTTAAGAGGTCTGTGCAATGCGCTGAAGTTTACTGGCGTGGCTGTAAATAGCCATTATATGGGCTCTGTCTGTGTAAGCCTGTTTTCTGTGGGTGACATGGGAGGCCACACAGGCAGATTGCTTCCAACATTCAAAAGTTGGCGGCTGGAACAAAAAAAACGCCTGGTTTAAAAACAGGAACTGTAATCAATTATATTTCAGCCCCGTAATTAAAATCAGCATTTCACCGTAGTCTATCGGTTATACACCACCTCATAGAAGTGTGGATCGATTGCATTCACTTAAACAGAACGCTAGTGGCAAGAGACACAGGAACAAGCAGAGGCTGAGTGAGTATTTAACATCTGGCTTTAGAGATATTTAAAAAAAAACAAATAATCTGCACATGTCTGGATTACTTTGTTCTCCTCCATCTCATCAATGCAAATCAATACACTTAGGTTTGAACAATAAGTCTCCAGAGGGGGTGTGGCACTAAGCTGCCTACCAGAACTCACAGTAACTGGTGTCAGCAAAGTACTTTCAAAGGCTGACAGACAAAGTCGTGCACAGCTCGGGATTGCTGTGTTTGCGAAAAAAAAACATCTGCACTATCCGAACGCAACTGCATCAATTATAGCCTTTGTATTGGCTTGTGGGAGGAGGCTTTGCACTCAAAAGAGCGTGACTTGTGTGCACAGGGTTTGTACTCAGTTCACCTACAAAATATACACTCGTCACGCTTTACAACCATCTCTTGTGAAGTGATTCGAGACCTCATCTCGGCATGACAGGCACTATACCAAATGCAGAGATTACGATTTTATTTTCCTCCTGCTGTTGGTATCAAACACTCTCTGGTAAGGCGGTACACTGAACGAGATACAGAGAGATTGAGCCTCCTGTTACATCGGAAAATCAGATGCCTCGGCTCAGAACAGTGCCCCCTTACTGCAACGTAGAACTATAAAGAACACAAAGAGGCCATTCGATCCATCCCTGCCCTCTCTCTCTCTCTCTCTCTCTCTCTCTCGAAGTAATCCATTCAGTCCCACTTTTATCCCAAACCCTTTTGTGTCAAAGAATTCGTCCAATTTCATAGATGTTGCGACAATTCATAGCAAAATAAAGTCCACGGCTTCCACCTCGAGAACAGGGTCATTATCCTCAAAAATTCTAGAGCACATTTCCTTCTAGAGAAGCTGCAAACTGATAATAATAATAATAATAATAATCCTTGCATTTGATATAGCGCTTTTCACGATAAACGAAAGAGATGACTTCGAACAATGAAGGAAAAGGCCTAGATACAAGATCACCACCAACAACAAATTACATTTCTACAGTGCCTTTCACGTCAGGAGGACGTCCCAAGCTGCTGGACAGTCAGGGATCTGCACCCGAGCTGGTGGTTGGGATCAGGAGAGGTGGAGGGCGGGGATGGTAAGGGTAGGATGGTGACCGAAGGCACGGTCGAAGAGAACGGTCTTGAAACGGGTCTTGAAGGAGGCAAGTGAGGGGGCGAGGCAGAGGGACTGTGGGATGCAGCTCCAGAGGGTGGGGGCACAAACAGAACTTGGTGTCAAGACTTGAGAGGGATAAACTGCATAAGGAAATCTCTCTCTCGCACACACACACACACACAGTTAGGTGAAGGAGAACATACCTCATCAGGACTAGCTGCTTGGTAAATACGACAGGCATCTTCGTAGTTTTGTTCAGCTTCAGCTTGGTCGGTGCACTCAGGTCCGTGGGACTCGTAGACGGGGGTGACATTGTGGCAGAGTGCGATGGCTTTCACTGCCTCGTGAACACGCACGCTCACCGTTTTACGGATCTTCGGAGCTGCCGAGGGGGCCTTATCCTGCGATGACACAGGTGGCTGCAAGACCAGAGAAAATTTGTTTTGTCACGTAAACGTAAAGTGTACCATTGCGGCTCACCTCTCTCCTCCTGAGGAGGCTGCAGTTTCACAGGCTCTGCTACCCTGCTCCCAAGCAACTACTGGTCATGTGTTAGCCTTGGCCGCCAGTGTTGGCAGGAGATTGATCGAGCAGAAGGAATTACAGCCAAGCCTGACCTCTCCCCACTTGACTGCCACCCACAAGCACTCCCAGTAGAGGGCGCTTTAGAGGGACCAGAAACAGATACTCTGGTTGGCTTCCCTCTCCCCAACTCCAGCTCCACGTCTCATTAAGCCTCAGCAAACTCAGCATAAACCATCAAGCTCCTGGTCTGTGAGCTGAAGTCTGTATCCACTAACAGTATCAGAGCTATATCACTGCTCTCAAAGGTTCTGGTTTTATTTGACACTGTTTCTATCAACAGGTCATACGACACTAAATAGGAATTCAATTGGATCCCAGATACAACAGCAATCATTACGGTTTCAACAGATGCACAGACCACCTAAGAAAACTAAAATGCAAACAGGTGCCATTCTGTTTCCGAGAGTGGTGTAATACACTGAAAAACGCACATGTAAATAGAGAAAGTTAAAAACCACTTGCTCTGGTTCCCATTTTACTCTGATCTGGGGTACAACGACATGCACACTTCAGTTCATAGAGGTGCAGTCATTTTTGCTTGTTGACCATAGTTTGGTCAAAGTTCTCTGCATAATAAAGAGGTTGAATGCAGTTGAATATCGGGGAACTCTATAGTCATGGAACTGGAACTTCCCAGGGTCTGTTTGGCAGTTTCGCTCTGAGCAGCGGGTTTAAACAAATGAGCCATCAGAAGAGCTGGAAATACCTTTTCCTTATACATAATATAAAAGTAAACTTTCAACACAAATGATGCAGACATTAGAGAAACGATCAGCTAAAGGATTTTTTTCCCCACAAATGCTTTTCGTTTGTTAAAGCCACAGCTTAAGAGTATTGAGGCTTGATCTGCAAACTATGCTTCCTGTCAAATGTGCAGCCATCAGAACCGATATAGACAGCAAATTGGGCAAAAGTTATGAGAGATTGTACCAAGGGCACTGAGTAAACAAGGATCAAATCCGTCTGACTAGCTCAGCAGCTCTCAATTTACAGCATTGTGGCTTGGTACCCTGCAGTATAGTTAACCTGGCAGTAATAGCCGTGGAATCGATTGTTCGGTTTTTATTATACATAAATGTTTTATTCTCTGAGGACGTCATCAATCTGCCCAACAGATGGTGGTGGAGCTCACAGCTGAGGAAAGCTTTAGGCCAGTAAAATTAGAAATTTGCTGTCGGGTTAAGTCAGTCATGGCTAGGAACCTCCTGCACAAGCCACCACTATCCAAGGTGGGTGGGAGGAATGGGTGTGTAAAGATTCACAGTAAACACAAGGTAAACAGCTGATCCACAAACACAGCTGCTTCCTCTTACAGCAATTAGCCGTAATGGGAAATGAAAGCCACCAAACCAGAACTCGTATCTAATGATTGTTTTGATCAATTTAGAAATCAGCTACAGAAACGGAGCCAAGGAGATCTCGCCCAGATGGTGAGTATTGTAGGAATCCTCACAGGGACGTCTGAGCTTGTCGACCCCTGACCAGAGATCATTGGATAGTGATGTCTAAGACGATTCTCCTTCCTTGTCCAGTTATCGTCCACCCCTGCCACGCGAGCGAGTATAAGCAAAAACTGATTCTGGGACCTTCATGCTCTATGTAGTCACAAACCTACACAGTACTTTCCAAGACTGTTTTGAGGTTTGTTGACCCCTTGCAATGCGACAATTTTAACCACAAACCATTCATTAACAAGTTCTCACCTGTGTGTACGCACTAAAAATGTGGCTTTGCACCTCGTCCATGGAGTCCATCCCGTAGGATACGGTGCCGAGGTGAAGCCGCCTGAACACCATCTCATTCTGGGTAAGAGTTCCTGGAGGAACGGAAGAAACTACAGTTAGACTTTCAGCCAACTTTCCCCCACCCATCACCCGGTGAAGCGCTTAGGAGGTGTCTTCCCAATGCAAAAGACATTTCATGATGAAATGCTGTAAATTGTTGTAGAGTGAAATGGAAACGAGTGGATTTTATACCCCGTTTATACTTTAGCACTTCCATCGAGAATCTACTGTTGCAACTCCACTTCAAAACAGCAGAGCTTTCACACTGGTTCCATTCCTCTAAATCTTCAGCAATCCTGCAACCTTTCCTTGTCCCCTCTTATAAAAAAAGCACCTCTTTAGTAGAATATTTTACCCCTGATGTATTTGCTACAAGTGGAAGGGTTTGTTTTTGATTTGCTCATGGCTGGCCTGTTTCCCCCTCAATTGGGAGAGCTCTGGTGAAATGACCCTCTGCACAGTTTGAGTTTTTTTTTAAAAAGTTTAAAAAGCATCGGTTATTAGAACACAGTTTTGGTGATGAAAAGGTTTGTGAATAGAAACCTCTGGAGCCTAGTCTCTCCAGATATTCATCTGCATGCCAAATGCATTCAAGATAAGGCTGTGTGGAATCATATCAGTCAGCACCATTCATACTGCTCTTTCCTTGGGAAATCAGTAATGCGGGTTCTTTCACACAACTGTTCAGTATTGTTTATCTGAACAATAAAGGGCTGGCATCGCAGATCGGGATTTACACACCATTGCACAAACGTATCCTTTTGGTTTTTCGGGGGCACAGAATAATGCTTCAGGGTAACAGGAAGAATGATCCATTCCCTCCCCTACAAATTATTTCCCAAACATAGTACCCACACAATATAATATAATATAATAATCCTCGCATTTGATGCGAATTGACTGTATATTTGTGGGCGAACGCGGCAGCCAATTGCGCACAGCAATGTCCCACAAACAGTCATCGATTGAGTGACTATATTATTTTTTTTTGGGTGGGGAAATAAGCGTATAGAACTCTAGAATGAACGAGTCCTTGGAGAATGGATTCGTTTCCTGAAAGAAAAAAAAATCAAATGTTTTACGGGTGCCATCTCCGAATCCCGAGCCAACATTACCCGTCTTGTCTGTTAGAACATAGGAAATTCTCCCAAGCTGCTCTGGGATGGTGCTGGCACGGACCACTGTGCCAGGAATCTTAGAGTCTCTCCGAATCATCCAACTGTACACCATCTTTCCCATGTCCAGGTTGACACGAATACTGCAGGGGGTCGGGAAGAAATAGAGAAAAATATGGATTAAAAAAAATTGAAAAAAAAGAAAAACATGGACTTCAACTTGGTCATGTAAACAACGGAATGAGCTGAACACAGTCTGGTCACTCGAAATAACATCTGCACCATGTTTCTCTCCAAAGATAATCAAGGGAAGGATTGTTGTAGCACAGTGGAGGAGTGAGATTCTTATTATTTTCATCTCAAAAACCTTTGAGATCGCTCCAACGACAATAAATTAGCAGGATTTATTTGTCCTGATAAATACAAACCCCCTAACTCATCTGCGAGCAAACAATTTTTGGAGCTCAATGGAAGTCCACTCATCACGTCTTTGTGTCCTAACAGAACGTATTTTGCATCTAAATATTTGGACAGCCTGGCTGGGCATGTGAGAGCGACGTGGAGAGAAACCCAAATGAGTCAAGAGTTCTACAGATGTTATTGCAGATGTGCCCAAATGTTTTGATAGATGTATTTAGACTTAATGGAGATTTCTCTAAATATTAAACTGCAAAATGAGTGCAGCTGCCCTGCTCTGCCCTGCCAAAGTCAAATGGCTGGTGACAAAACTGAACCCCTGAACTGATCGCTGGCAATTCATGATCGGTAAATGCAAACATATTTCTGAAACGCTCCTTTAAAGCTTGTAACATTTTAAAATACGCGGAAGAATTTCCTCTCGATGATAAAGGCGTTGAAGGTCTTGCTTGTGCAGACCAGAACGTTCGAAGCAGTTTCGAAAGCCAGCCTGAGAAGAATTGAGGTGATCTCAGCTGGAACACTGAAACACTACAGTGCACTGGGTTGGGAAGAGGGTATGTGAAAAAAAAACAGCCTTGGTTTCCACTCTTTACGAGTGCACTTGTGCAGACAGTGGGTGAAGGCAGCAGGACCGAAGCTGTGATGCTCATCACAGGTGGACAATCTGCCCACAACTGAGGAGTTAGCTCGTGTGTCCGTAGTGCATCTGGCAAATGGGAGCAGAATCATGAATGTGCTGCAATCCTGATGCGTGTACAATTTTACTGAGGTCTGAGCCACCAGAGCCCCTGTTGTACACGTCCCAACACTGGCTCCGAGAACAGCATCGGCACAAACCCTGAGCGAGTTGCCTTGCCGACCTTTTTAATCTTGGCAAACCTTTTGTTTGGCAAAGCTGCCGGGCAGAGGGGGCTGAGGAAGGGAGAGGGGAGGGGGGAAGAGGGGAGCTGGGGAACGGAAGTGGGGAGAGAGAAAGACTTGGGAGGAGGTTATAAAAATCACCTCCACTCGGCACACTGACTGATTTCTGGGAGCCTCCCTACCTGATGGGGACGATATGGGAAAGCAGAAGGATGAAGCGACACAAATGGAGATACCAACGACCCCGGAAATGCTGCAGGGCAACCATTACAAGGGACAGCACCACCAGAGCCACAAACAGGATCTTCATCAAACAGTTCACCTCCAGGTCAAACAGCCCCATCTAGAGAGAGGGGCAAACAAACAAACAAAATAAAATCTCTCTCTGCATTTTACGTCCATGGACTTAAAAGTCAGACACGTCTTATTCATGAAAACGATGGAAATATAACTTAGATTAACGGTTTGGGGGTTTAATGTGTACATAAGCTTCTTACAGCTGTTGGGGATACTTAATAAGACTACACAAGGACTCCCAAGGTAAAGTAATTGAGCACAGGTCACCAGTGAGCCCAAGACATTCCTGGGCTGTGCGTCTCAGACTCCAGGGGATCAATTTACCCATCGGGCGATGGGGGAGCTGTACTGTTCCTTACAAGCAACACCTGCTGTTACCAATAGCAATGTCAAGTTGTATTCAAGACGGAAAGTCAATGGAGTCAGTCATGCACTTCACTGAATGCCTGATTCAAACCCTTCGTCAATAGAATCTTTCTAAAGTGATTTCTACAGGAGGCTTCACTGTTTCAATACATCAAAAATAGCATCGCTGCTCCATGGATGGTTTACCTCAGGAATTTTTGGCTTGCTCGGCAAGAAATTGTACCTATTTAAACTCTAAATCAGAAGTGAGCTATTATTTTCTCATCGCGTACATTATGGGAAGACTCTGAAATATGTGAAATACACTCGGTTAACTTCGCAGTCCTAAACCTAGAATTTTTAAGCCCTTTTTCCAATAGCCCAACATGGAGACAATACTGGCACGCTGCTTTTGTGGCGGATCTTAAATTCCTCTTTAATAATTCCTCTTTCATAAAGTTAAGTGATTGACATATTTGCAGCATTCAGTACACAATGCAGTAACTGATCCAAGATTTGAACCTTGAACCATTAGCTTGGTCACAAATCTCACCAGCTGAGCACAATGGGTTGTTAACTCATGCTCTGTGAAATAACATCGACCTCAATACAGGGAAACATCACTATACAACCAATATCCCACAGACCGCGTTGTTAGTGAGGTGCGCAGGAAGCTGAGGCATTATACGCAGGATGTGCCACTAGAGTCATTTCCTGTCCACTTGTTCACGTATGCTACGCGCAGAAAGTACCACTGACAGCGCTTCCCTCAAAAAATGTGCAGGAAATGATGTCAGCAGTAACCTGACAACCTGAAGTTGGCTTTATTTTAAAAAAAGTGTGGGAAGACAGTGAATCAGCACCGGAAGCCGGGGCACCATGTTTCTGTCGGTAGTGTGGGTCCACAGTAGAGGCAGCAATACATTGAGGGACAAAACAGGATCCCCCTGTAGTTTTATTTCAATAGAGCAATTGCTTAGATTAGCCGTTGCGAAAGTATAATTACATAATTGAAAATGGATCTACGATAGCATGGTAATGAAGCTTTACAGCCCATTATAGCAACATTGAATTTCACCAGCACTGGAATAATGAAGCTATTATTATGGAATAATAATGAACAAAGGTACTGGAACTCATTCCTTTTGAAATTGTACAACAGGGATTGAAGTTCAAAAACACGAGCAAAATTAACTAACTGTTCAAAGGAGTGAGAATTGGGGGTTAAATGCTCATTCCTGGTCGATCGTGTTATCAGATGGGATGAGTATCGTACCTTATTCTTTGGGTTGGAGGTATTCATCACACTCCTCATCTCTTTTCCTGTGTAAATGACAACTCCCACAGCGGTACCTTGGAGAGAGAGAGAGAGAGAGAGAGAAAACACACAAAATGTTAGGGTCAGTGACAGAAAAAAAAATTGAGCATTTGATTTGGGCTTACAAACATCAAGTGAAAAAAATTCAACATACGTAGAATTAAACAAAGTAAATCTCATTATCACCAGGGGCAGCATTTAACTTCCAAGGGTTCGGTTTGAGGGGGCCCTACATTTCAATTATACGATGAGACTAAATACTACCGACTTAATCTGGTGTCAAATCCACATACTTACAAGTGTGAAAGGCATGTTTGCAATAGGTAATATAAAAATAATTGACAAAATAATAACCACAAGAGTAAATGACATCAAACGATAATAAAGGTCTTGAAACACAGATGTTATTTCAGTACATCAGGAAAATCTAAAATCCTTGAACTTATCACCGGATTCGCTCAGGGCCCCTAACGGCGCCCTTGATTATCCCAAATGTTTACAATGCTGTAGCCCCAAATGGCTTAGTGGGTAAAAACCTGCATCTTGTATTTGAAATTGAGCTGGAAAAAGACCTGGAAGGTACAGGTTCAATCTGTGCTGAATTAGTCAGAATGTTACAAGCTTTCCTTTTGCCTTGAGGTAGAGTCCCCATTCCTGATCACTTTCCAGCCACACACACACACACACACAGCACTTAAGACAGAGCTTTCAGGAATGGCTACCGACCTTATTAGTGTATACATGAGAACACTTTGCAACAGACAGGAGAAGGTTTCACATGTGAATGCAGTAATAATAATAAATAATAATAATCCTTGCATTTGATATAGCGCTTTTCACGTCTTCTAGACGTCTCAAAGCGCTTCACAGAATATACTATGAAATGAATTGACTGTATACTTGTGGGCGAAACACGGCAGCCAATTGCACACAGCAGTGTCCCACAAACAGTCGTGGATTGAAGTAATCAATTTATTATTTTTTTCTCTCTTGAAAGATTATTATCTGGCGTGTGTGTGGAGTAAGGAAACTTGCCCAAGGTTTCGCTCTGCCGGGAATCAAACCCAGATCTCTCACTTGTGAGGCGAGTGCTCTAACCACTGAGCTACAGGACTGTAATTTGTGTAACTTCTTTTGTTATTTCCACAAAATCCCACCACGAAACACAGCATTTGCCCAGCAGTGAGTGGTATCAGTGTTGCCCGATACAGAGAAAGATCACAGTTTGTATTTGACCCGATTAACTTTCAGCAAACAAGCATATCAAACTAAAAGGGTATACCGCGATGACTTAGATCATAAAAATAACAATCGGCCAATAAGCCATCAATTTATTCACTTAAATATTTATAACTCAACTAATTCCGTTTATACGATTTTTCCCCCAAAAATTATGAAGCCTCATTCCTCATTGAGCCGCATTGTAACTCACAGTGAGCAGCGAGAGAGGCATCTATAAACAACTGGGAGAAGAGCCAGAGGAAACATGGTAAAATACGTGCTGCAGTATAACTATTTAGATTTAGGGGATCATGATCCTGGCACCACATGTAAACTGGGGAAGGATAACAAATCAGAGAAGATTATGTGTAAAAGTGCACTGAGGTTTAGTGATGCGTAAATAGCTCGAGGTTCTGGAATATGACAAGTGAATAAAGGAAGTTGGAGGCAGGGGAGTTGTCCTTGGGGGGTTCCCATTAGTGCTCGATTTGAGTTTTTTTTTCAGAAAACCCTTTTGACAGTTGACAATTCGCCAAGGAACTCTGAAACCCATATTTGCTGAAGTACTTTGAATTACTAGGGTTTCAGGCATTCAGGAGTGCAAAACTGTTCAAAAAAGTGTTTATTGACGAGGAGATTGAAGTGAACAATGAGATCTAAACCCAGGTCCTCTCGCTTGCGAGGTGAATACTCCAACCAATGGACGAAAGAGCCCGCTGATATTCACTGGGTCTAATAATAATAATCCTTGCATTTGATATAACGCCTTATCACATCTTCGAGACGTCTCAAAGCTCTTCACAGAATATACTGCAAAATGAATTGACTGCATATTTGTGGGTGAAACACGGCAGCCAATTGCGCACAGCAGCGTCCCACAAAACAGTCGTGGATTGAAGTGACCAAATTATTAGTATTTTTTTGAAGGAATTATTACCCCCAGAAAAGCGATCCGCCAATCGACTAACAACTGGGTTCCCACTTACTGCTAGTGTGGAGGCGTATGGAGTAAGGAAACTTGCCCAACATTTCACCCTGCCGGGAATTGAACCTGTCTCTCACTTGCGAAGCGAGTGCTCTAACCACTGAGCGACAGGACTCCATTTTGCGAATCAGTTTTTTTTTGTTAGTTGTTGAGTGAGAAAAGACAGCCTCGTCTTACCAGAAGCAACAACCGTGCTGGCCCAGAGAGTGTTTTCAATGCTTAAGCTCTCATTAACAGGTGGGTCACTGTCCTCCTGACGGAAAAACACAGAAAAATAATTATTCTTCCAAGCAGAATGGAATCACTCGTTCCTGACCACTTGCCGTAGCCCACATCCCAGGCCGCCCATTCCCATTCCCATTCCCTGCTCTTTATTTTGAGTAAAAAAAGAAAACGGTAGCTCACAATCAATCCCTTTAAGACGTACTGATTAAGTACAATGTCTGAACCATTACAGAATTCTAAAGGGAACACATTAACCACATTACATAAGAGTGTATCCAAACCCAACTCACCCGAGTGAAGGTTCCCACAAACCCATGGATATCCAGACTCGGTTCTTCTGCGTAAATGTAAGATCGGATTTGTAGAAGGTCCTGGAGATCAAAATGAGAAGCGAATAAGAAAAGCTGCCAACACTGAGCTCTGCAGAACATCTGGTTTGCAAGCCATAGCCTGAAGCATACTATCAATTGACCACCAAATGTGCAATGTAAAATCGAACCATTCTCCTGACCACACCTGGAGTTGGTTTTCAGGCAGAGAGAGCTTTGCACCTGTGCTGTATAAATGTTCAATTGTAAACTGTACAGGGGCTTGTGGTCATTTGAAAGTTGTCAGCCTAATTGACAGCCAAGAACATTTCACAGGAACAATTTATTTTATTATTATTGCAGAATTACCCACAATTCTCAAATACAATTTTACAGAAGGAACACACAACTTTGGGTGTTCTTTATTCCTCCAACGCCAACCCTTGCTAACAGCTTCTGGCACCAGTAATGGTAAAACTCTCGAGTCAGAAGGTCGTGGGTTCAATCCGCAAGTCGGGATTTTGAACTAACAGACTGGGCTGACACTCCAGTGCAGTGCTGGGGGAACACTGAATTATCGTCAATACACTTCACAGTAAAATTCTGTGAAGGACGTTGAGATGCCTCAACATGATAAGGAGCTGTATCAAACGCAAGAATTATTATTATAGTATTATTATTCTTTATACAGTAAATCTCACACAAGTCTGATCTGTATAAATGATATAATCACCTATGTCTCATGCAAGAGTTTATATTCTATGCAAGTTTGACATAACTCATACTTTGCATAAGTCATATTAAATGGATGGTTCCAACTGATATGATTTATGTGAAGTTTACTGCAGTAATAATAATAATAAAAGTCAAAATATGTCAGCGCATTTTGTGTATCAGAATTTATGAGGCTTATTGCCTCGTGTGGTACTTACTCCCATGATGGGCAATCTCTGTGTACAGCCCACAGGCAGTCGCATCTTCCAGTCAGTCTCTCCATCTAACTGATCTGTGCGGATAAAACAGGAACCTGCAAAACAGGAGGCGTTCATAGAGATAAGAGGTGAAGGCAAAGTTCACAGCTGTGTTAATGCCGTGGCTTGGAATTCAGAAGAAACGCAGCAAGTGCATTTCAAATGCTATATCAAATGCCAGGATGATTATAATAATCCAGTTGTGGAGCTCTGCTTGCACATCTCCTGATGACCTCCTGACAAACCATCTCACCATGTTGGAATTCGTTTTAATTCTCTTCTTACTGCTAGTTTTATAAAATTATCCTTCTCTGGGAAAAACGTATTTCACTGGTAATCGCATGCTTATGTGGCCACATCCAAAATATGGAGATTTTGTTTGTTGCCTTTAATTTGGAATCGTTACCATCTCCACTCTAATATTCAGCAATATTCAAATACACAAAATGTCATCAAATGTCTGAACACAGAGATATTCAACCCAGAAATGGATCATCTTAAACATCACCCAATGGTTACTGCTAGGGTTTAGCTGCTCTGCCCCAGCCCAGTTGGTATCAGAAATACGATGGATGAGACAATTGGCATTAAAATAAAGCATTTCTGTTGGCTTGGACTGTTTATGGTGGGAGGCATTTAGGAGGGAAGCTCCATCAGTTTATGTGAACCACTAGGTGTGTCGCTTACCACTTTTGTCAGATGTTCGGAGGAAGATCATGTCAGCAGGAACCCGCTGGTTCTATGGAAAATAAAATAAAATCACGAAGCCAAGTTGCACAAAAGAACATAAGAACATAAGAATTAGGAGCAGGAGTAGGCCATTCGGCCCCTCGAGCCTGCCCCGCCATTCGATAAGATCATGGCTGATCTTCAGACCTAACTCTAATTACCTGCCCCATCTCCATATCCCCTAATCCCTCTGTTTTTAAAGTAAGCTTCATTGATAACTAGTTTGTCCCTCTGAAAACAAAGCAGTAGAGCAATGCAGAAGATGGATTAATAATTCCTATTACTCATCAAATTGGCCAGGGACTGAAAAATGTTGGGTACAGGCACGTCAGGCATCTTTGTTATTCCAGGGCCGGCTGGTCAGACCACTGGCATTTTTATAACATTAACAAATGGTGCCTTAAACTCACTTGGGACGTCCAAGAACAAAGACCAAATAGATCTACGGCACTGCAGTCAATTTACTATTGAAACTACTTCCTCAGGTTGGTTCTCGGCAGCTGTGCTCCAGGACAACGTACGTTTACACTATGCTGTTCAGCTCCAATCTGTTGTGCTTCCTGCAGCTCACTGATGATCACTAAACCAACTAGTTGTGCAGGAAATTAAATTTGTAAATACATCATCACACTGGATTCATTCTTGAGAAGCACTCTATGAGATTCTAAATCGAGCAAGTTATTTCAACTAACTAGTTGCACGCTTATCTCGATTCCACTTGAAATGTATTTTTAGGTACGCAATTTTCTCACAGGTAGCTCTTATAAAAAGGTTTAAATACAGACATAAGATACAAACCTTATCGACTATAATGAGATCCCCCACTTGAATGTTTGAGCTCTTCACAATCGCAGTACCTGCAGTCACAAAATAAGAAGCATTACCACTATACGTAAGATGCAAATCTAAAACCCAATTTATCCTGGAGTTGCCTGAGCTGTAACCATGTCTCACCTGACACCCACACACAAGGGTTCCTGGACAGCAACCAATACAGCCCCTTACTAGTAAAAAAAAGCCATGAGACTGATTGTACCACTCACACTCTCACCATCTTCATGTTGTGAATGGCTCAGTGATGGATCCAACATGACCACAAGAGGAGCACAAGAATCAACACAAGAGAGTAAAGCTGAATCAATGGAAGGTTACCTGGCACAGTTCAATAGCTACACTACAACTGCTCGGCACATTATTTACATGAACCATCTGCAAAACTACTAAATCTTTCTTCCTCCCTTTTCTCAGTGAACCTGGCAATTTTTGTATGAGCCCCATACAGTGAGTGTTGGCAGACTGTTTAACAGCTTAATACTCCTCAGGTCTCTAAACAGCATCTGCGCACATATGTGCTTGCCAGCAGAAATCACTGGATAGCCACGTTAAGCAGCCAAATAATTTAGATGTAAATAATTTAATAGGACGGCTATGGTGCAACGATTGAACTGCACCAGTAAATCTTCCATTGTGACAGGCTAAATTTCTTTTACTCCCCTTGTCTCATCCAATAGGGCCAAACTTCCAGGTAGCATTTAACCACTGAATTACCAGGAGAGCTCTCACTACAAAACACCTACATCCAGTTGCCAAGATACAGCAAACTGATCCAGGAGAGTGGACATGGAACCATGATGTAGAAATTTAAACACAGGGAAGACATCAAATTGAGAAAGGTGCTGGCCTGAAAACACACTTCCATGGAATCTGTTCTGCACAATATCCTGGAAATGGGCAAATCAATCAGTTAATTACAACCAGATCTTTATTGCAAAGAACAGCTGCCCCAATACAGGCCGTGCAAGGAACGCAATTGGGAATTAACCGGAATCTGCATATACAGTATTTGGATACGACGGTCTTTGCAGATACGTGAATTTGAACGGGAATTGGTCCTTTAAATAATCTTAGCATTAGACGCTAAGGGGGTGCTAATCGTCAGCTAAAAGCATTCTTCATATTAAAGAGGTGCCACATGCTGTAGCAATAGGATGCATCGCGAGAGGACTGGAACTGAAGACTAAAGTCTCCCTCAATGCGGGAGCTTTTATTGGCTCTGTTGCCCTCCGGGTGGATGGACAAGCTAAATGAAAGGAGCACACGCACGATCACTTTAATCCCACAGAGAGGAACATCTGATATTTTTGACAAGCAGCTTTACGGTGCATTTTGATTGGAAGGAACATTGTGCAAGATGCCATGGAGTGGAACCTGAGAGACCAGCTGCAACAGTAATGTGCAATGGATTACATTTATTGCCAGGCGTGCAGCCAGTTCAAGGAGGAAATTAGCAGAAACCACAAGGATCATATTGATTTTATTACTTCAAACACATCATTTACATCTCTTGCAGGATGCAGTTCACGTCACTGCTTCAGATCAACGGTAACCAGTCCATTTCCTTGACAATCCAACAAGTTGCAGCAATTTCCCAACAATTGTGCTTTTTTTATGGTTGGTGTTTTAACAAGGACTCATTATGCCAAATACAGCATCCAAATGCATGGACGAAGAAATTCACACGTCCAGAGAATACACCTTCTCTCTCTAACCACTCCTACCCACGCAACAAATTTATACTTTGAACCTTAACACTTTGTGCTAGCCTTGTCCCTCCGCCCCCACCCCACAGAATCACTACCGAATGGCTCAATTAGTAAAACCACAGTCTAGTGTAAGGTTATCTACAGGGCAGCTCTCTTAGAACTCTTCGCTCAGCGATTGTAAGTCTATTATACGAGAAGCGCTTTATATCTGGCTTCCAGCACCGACTAGCTGCCCTCCCACGCTAATATTCGGCCAATTTCTGAGTGATGTCTCCCTCAGCCGGTTAGCAGAGTACGCTAACTTTGCTGAGGTACCACAGACTCAATTCTCCAGAACGAGTCAGCTCCTTTTGGGGGGGAGGGGGGGGTGGGGGGGGGCCGGAAGAAGTACGGGGCAAACTGGCCAATGAAACTGATCTTTCAATAGACTGAGTAAATAATAATAATAATCCTTGCACCCCTGTATTCAAGTCCTTGCACTCCTCTGCACCCCCCAACCTCTCTGACCTCCTCTCTCCTCCGCACAGTACCCGTTGCCTTCGTTCCTCCGGGTCTGGTCTCCTCCTTGTCCCCGAGTCCTCCGCTCCACCCTCGGCGGCCGTGCCTTCAGCCACTGTGCCCTCAGGCTCTGGAACTGCCTTCCTCACTGCCTTCGTCTCGCTCCCTCCCTTCCCATTTTCAGGTCTCTGCTGAAGAACTTTCTTTTCGACCGCTATATAAATCCAAGTTGTTTCATAAAGCGCTTTTCACGTCTTTCGAGACATCTTGAAGCGCTTCACACAGTATACTGTAAAGTGAATTGACTGTATATTTGTGGGTGAAACAGGGCAGCCAATTGCGCACAGCAGCGTCCCACAAACAGTCATGAATTGAGTGACCAAATATTTTTTTCTAAATTTGATTTTTTGGGTGATTATCCCCGGAAAAGCGATTCGCCAATCGACTAACAACTGGGTTCCTAGTCACTGCTAGGTACACTGAGGCGTGTGGAGTAAGGAAACTTGCTCAACATTTTGGCCTGCCAGGAATCGAACCCAGGTCTCTCGCTTGTGAGGCTAGTGCTCTAACCACTGAGCTACAGGACTCCACATCTATGTGAAATCCCTTCTATGTGAATACATGGAACCATTCAAAGTACGCAGCCTCAACAATTTTCAACTCACACTCCACAAGATTTAAAATACCAACCACAGGACTGACCAAAACTTGAATGTTTTACCAATCCTGGCCTGGACACTGAAGTCAATCTCAGGGACAGAACAGATTCTCTGGAAATGTGCCGACTTTCCTACTAAAACCTGATACCGAGTAAAAATCAGGTAGTTAGAAACATCTTGGTGAAATCGGAGTGCAAAGTCTCACTGCCGGGAACTCCAGGAGACATTATTATTCCAACTAGCAGCACAGTTTGTGTGTGTGTGTGTGTTAATACATGCTTAAATCTCCTTCTTTGTAACACTAGGCTGCTTCACCATTGACAGCATCAGCACCATGCATTTTATTAGCAAAGGTTTAGTGACAAAGGGCCCAATCACATGGGCCTTGGGTTCAAAAACTTTCAGGGTAGAAATGCACCGAAGACCTCAAAGGGATGAATGCAAATTAGTAAAAGCAGATTGCGCTCAGTCCTCTAACGCAACCTTGCACTGCATTTCAGATTGGATTAGTTCCACTACATTGAGATTTCATGCCACTATTATGGCCATCAGTCAGGGTTAAACACAGCAGTCATTCAGCTTATAAAAAGAGAGGTCAGTTCTGAGCCCCGTCAGCACTGTATAATCTTTCAACCCGTTTGGCCATTTGTTCGGATCCCTAAATATCTCTGCAGGTGTCCTCAATCCATTCTGTTCGTTACAGGAAGCGAATGGGGGGGCTTCAGTGAGTGAGGTTTACCAAAGCAATGCAAGATTGGGGGCCTTTTACAATCAGAAATAGGGGGGAGGGGAAATAAAAAAATTCTCTGACCAAAGAGGATCTCTGCAAAGACGAACACATGAATCATCCAATTTTTATAACGCTCCAACCAAGTAACATACGCTTCAAATTCATTTGGCGTGTACAATTTTGCATTTGCTATTAATACACATATTCCTCCTTTACTCCATATTGATCCCAATTCTGAGAATTATTTTTATAGGTTTGTGACCGATGTACCAGAATCTCAACCTGACCTGCGCTTAATTGGGAGTGGGGTGGGGGGGGATGGGAAGATTCTACATTCACTTAACTCGCTTCCGTTAAGGAGACATGAAGCAATAAACCTAAACTAAACTCCGGCCTTTAGCCACAGTCTTCCTCTTTCGGTGACACTTTAGCTATGCAAATGGCAAGACGCATCATAAATCTCCAGGAGTGTTCCAAATGGGCCTCGGATCAGAGCCTGTGTAACATTGCACAAGCTACACATATGCTCTCCATGGTGCACAGCCTTTGATTTTAAATGTTGTTCAATTTAGTTAAACCCTACTGTTTTAGCAGCTGGCAACAGGATATAAGAAGCAGGAGCGAGGCCCTAGGTACTGACCTCTAGCTGTGAGCTTGCTGTAGATCTGCGAGTTTACTTCTTTGTCTCGAACATAACATCTGATCTCCTCCACAGCCTCTCGGATGACTGTGACCCCCAAGACAAATCCCTGCAAGTCAAAAAAAGAAAATCAATGCTTTTCACACATCAATAAAACTAAAATACACAGTCACTACGCTTTGCTGTGAAGTGCCTTGAGACGTCTCGAAGACATGATAAGGCACTATCTCAAATGCAAGGATTATTATTATTACTTCATACCTGCAGTGTCCGAACACGGGGAGAAGTTATACATGTTAGATGAAAATATTCTTTGGGAGGGGGGAGGTGCGGGGGGGGGGGGGGGCGCACGTTGAGTTGACCATAATTCTCTTAGTACATCCTGACCATATTCGCTGCAGACTGCGGAGAGCGTGTGTGTCCATGTCTGTTTGTGTAGCTTTAGTAACCTGACTGCACCTGACCTAAGCTTTCAATGCTTATTCTTTTTTCCCCCCTTTTCTCCCCTCCTGAAGGCAGGTACTCTTCCTGGGGTGCAGATCAACAGGAGCTGCCTGCCCTCCCATATCTAGTGCCAACTTATCATTTTTCACGTATATTGAGTCGAGACAGTGAAAGCCAACCGTGTGTTCAATCATAGGGGATGTCACAGCTGAGCCAGTCTTGTCCTGTCCCGATCTGTGAACATGCCCAGGGCTTACTGGGTAGCTATCAAGAGCAGAAACCCAGGCTTATTATCTCCCCTTCTTTGCTTGCTCAGGTGAATTGTAACCCCCCACACCCCCCAACCCAGACCAGACATGTCCACGCAGATTACAACCTGCAACCTCCTCGTCTACGTTACTTGTTGTGACAACAGGTGGTGTCTTTATCTGTTTGGCCATCAGGGGAGCTCCCATTCATTCCTTTTACAGCCACTCAAGCTGGATGAAGACCTCAATGACATATTCATCTTTCAGAAGCCAAGAGGAACCCACCCATCTTAAATTAAAGGGTAAAAAATGTAACCTTCTTGCGACATCTTGATATTGGGAATTTTCTCCTTTAATCAGCATCAAATGGTCTTCTTGAACTTTGCCTGGAGATGCAGTGGTGTTTCTTAAATGTTTTGCACCCTTCCTGGATTATTCCGAGTGATCCTAAGTCAATACTAATACGACCCATTACTTGTCAGTAAGATAGAAGCACTGCTCGCACAGCCTAATGAGGCATTTAGCTGGAATAGTTTTTAGAGCAACTTGCATTTAATAGAGTCCTTCACATGGGACAACTTCTCGGAGCGCTTAGCAGTGGCAGAGCCTGACGCTGAGCTGGGGGGAGGGAGGTGGTGACTGTCAGCATGGATGAAGAGAAAGGTCTTCAGTCATGCTTTAAAAGAGAAGGGGGCAAGGCGGAGGGATTGGGGGAGGGAGTTCCAAAGCTTCGGGGCTTAGTGGCTGAAAACACGGCCATCGACGGTGCAGAGGAGGTAACGAGAGCAAGCAGGAGGCCAGAGCCAGCCGAGCAGAAGCAGCAGGTAGTGGAATGGGGAGAAAGCGGGTCAGAAAGATAGGGAGACGCCAGGGCATGAAGGGATTTGTAGGACAGCAATTAATAAGTGACTGGAAGTTACATTGAAACTCCAATTGTTTGCGATTATTGTGATGACAGATAATCAGCTTGCCTTCCCAGCTATGCTTCCTGTGCGATGTTTCCTGCTCTCTGTGCTATGCATTAGTGCTTTTCATTAACTGCAGTCTCATGCATTTCACACCAAACTAACTCAAACAAATGCACTTCCCCGCAAGACTCACTAAAACTATAAAGAATACATCTTTATTTTAAAAGAAACACAGTAACGCTTCTGGAACCAAAGTGTCCGAAACAAATATTGACGTTTATCCACAAGTAATTAGAAACGTTATTTAAAGGGTATCAATATGTTGCTTGTTGAACAAATTGCATTACAAATCAATGTTGCATTTTACAATCCTCAGTGCAAAGAGTGACGGTTACAAAATGATTCCAATTCCTCCTCACCGACCTGACTCAGTTGTTTCTCAGTGTTGCATTCCCCTGGAGTCAACAGCACGTGGGTTCAGTAAATCTTTTGCCTCTGTCAATTATCCACTGGAGTGAGGGAGGGCAGGGAGAAAGACTACTTCCTCTCCATTGTACCAGGTAATTGACATTACATCATTTCATTGTCCCCACATCCTGATCACATGCACCTTTAATGGCGTTCAATTATAATTCCATAAAACAGTTAAACAGTAATAAAAATACATTTATGAATTTATCATATTATTTATTTATCGTGGAGTCCTGTAGCTCAGTGGTTAGAGCACTCGCTTTGCAAGCGAGAGACCTGAATTCAATTCCAGGCAGAGGGCGAAACCTTGGGCAAGTTTCCTTACTCCACACAGAGCCTAATAATAATCCCTCCAAAACCAAAAACAATAATAAATTGGTCATTTTCAATCTACGACTGTTTGTGGGACATTGCTGTGCGCAATTGGCTGCCGCGTTCGCCCACAAATATACAGTCAATTCACTTTACAGTGTGTTCTGTGAAGCGCTTTGGGACGTCCTCCCGACGTGAAAAGCGCTATATCAAATGCAAGGATTATTATTATTATCGACTCTCTTAGTTGGTGTCGGTGTCTGATAAATAGCAGCGTGCCAATAATTCCATCTATTTTGAATGCTTTAACGCCTGGAATCCTAAAACCTCCCATTATATTCTTACACACCAGTTATATGAAAATAACCCAGAGGAGTTTTTTTTCCTAAAACAAAATTCTCGTCTGGCTCTTTCGGTTCCCACAACCACTTAGTAGTATTCCTCGGGTCTCAAGGAAATGGGCAAGTATCCTGGCACCAGATCTCATAGTAAAAGGGCAGGGAACTGGTACACTGAACTGACTCCATGGCTGACTTGCTGTCAAGTTTTCCATCCCAATATGGAAATGCATGACCTGCATTTTCTCGCAGAACAAGGTCCCAACCTGAGGCTGTGTAGTTCAGGAAAATGTAAGCATGCACCCACAGCTTTCTCGTTCCATGACAAAGCACTTCATCCACAATACCACCCACAAAATACACAATCAATTAACTTTACGGTATATTCTGTGAAGCCCTTTGAGACGTCTCGAAGAGGTGATAAGGTGCTATATCAAATGCAAGGATTATCGTCTGAACCAATGCAATTTCCTATTGTAGACACTCAGCAAAAAAGCCTGCTATATCTAGCAATTAGTTAAGTTAGTCCATCATGTCCAGGTTCATAAACGATAAATAATCACATAGGCAAACACGCATGGGGCTATCGGCTTCCATGTTTGTTCCAGGATACAATGCAAAATTACATTTGTAAAGCAGCTTTCACGCCTGGAGTGTGCATCCATAGATGCTGACGCTGCCAGTGGCTAAGGTGTGTACGCACTGGCGTGAGCCAATCTGGGGAGCCTCAGTCTTGCTGAAGTTCAACTGTAAAAAGTTGGCTCTCATCCAGACAGTCTGTCAGGACAGCAGTGGTCTTGGGGTCAAGGGTGGAGGCAGAGAGATAGAGTTGGGTGTCATCCGTCAAGAAGTTGACCCCATGTCTTTGGATGATGTACAGGTTGAAGAGGAGAGGACCAAGGACAGAGCCTTGAGAAACACTGCACGAGCGGATTAATTCTACCAAATGCTAATTCAAGCTATGTCCCCTCCGAGATGAGCTTCTTTACTCTTCTTCACTCCCTTAGGTTCTTCCTGAATCTTTGCCAGTTTTCTGCCTCTCTTCTGACAGGGAACCACCCCACTTTGATAAATAATTGAAGAGGAAGATGTATCATAGAATCATACAATTCAGAAGGAGGCCATTCGGCCCATCATGTCTGTGCCAGCTCTTTAAAAAGAGCTACCCAAATCAATCCCACACCCCTGACTCTCTTCCCATAGCTCTGCAAACTCATCCTCCCCAAATAATTATCTTCTTCTCTCTTAAAAGTTGTTATCGAATCAGCTTCCATCATCCTTCCAGGCAATGCATTCCAGATCCGAACAACTCGCTGCGTGAAAACATTTCTCCTCACCTCCCCTCTGTTTCTTTTAACAACTATTTTAAAATCGGTGTCCTCGGGTTACCGACCCACCCGCCAGTGGAAATAGTTTCTCCTTGTTCACCCTATCGAATCCCCTCATAATTTTGAAAATTTCTATTAAGATTCAATTAATTAATATTTTAAAATGTAATATTTCTATTGAAAACTTCTCCTCTTAATCTCTGCTCCATGGAAAATAATTCTAGCTTCTCCCGATAACTGAAGTTCCTCATTCCTGGTAAATCTCCTTTGCACCCTCTCCAATGCCTTGACAGCCTTCCTAAAGTGTGGTGCCCAGAACTGAACACAGTCTCTAGCTGAGGCCTAACCAATGTTTTATAAAGGTTCATCATAACTTCCTGACTTTTGTATTCTATGCCCCTATTTATAAAGCCTTGTATCTCGTATGCTTTTTTAAAAAAAAACAGCTTTATCTACCCGTTCTGCCACCTTAATTGCGCTCAGCAATTATTCTGATCCACGTCCCAGTGAAAACATTTGAATTACAAGCTGGGGGATCTAAAACAACTCAAAGCATAATAATAATAACAATAATCCTTGCATTTGATATATGTAGTACCTGATCACGCCATTGAGACGTCTCAAAGCGCTTCACAAAATATATTGTAAAGTGGATTGACTGTGTATTTTGTCGCCGAAACCTGTGAATAAACCATTTACTACCCCCCCACCCCATTTGGAAAATAAATATTAAAAGTAAAAATGAATTCTGAGTGCCTGACTCCAACCGCCGCCCTTCAATTAAGTTATTTTTAGCTAAACAGGAAGCCTTTAGCAAACAACCTGGAAGCCAGAGACCAGCTGTCCCCTGTAAAGAACAACACCCTAAGCTGTTTGATATACGCAAGCAGCAAATCTTACAAACAGATTAGTTTTAGTGCTTTAGGGCTGCAACCTTACATTTTACATGACAGACTGATTACTTTTATTCAGAGCGTGGATAAATGCAATGCAATACATTGCTTAGGTGTAACATTAGGAGCCTGTTGCATACACAGTGATCAATATCCAGCTTCGAAAAACTGTGTCACAAAGGTCTAGGACGTTACATGATAGTTAGATGACTATTACTATACTCACCAGGGTGCCCAATAGGTGTACAGAGCTCCCAGCCTCAACTCTGGTACAAACTGAGAGCATGCCAGCAGCAGGAAGTACAGGTTGAAGAAGTATTTAAACTGGTTAAACAGTACCTGGAGAACAAGGTGGAGGAAAGAATACATTAAATTGTAACTACAGGAATCCTGCTCAGCACACACAAGAAAGATGAGGTCATTTTAGAGCAGTGGAAAATTGACAGAATTTTTTTAAAGCCAGTTTTCAACCGATAAAATAATCTTTGCATTTGATTTTGCATCTTTCATGCCTGGAACACGTCTCAAAGCGCTTTGCAGGATAAATTGCAAAGTGCAGTGACTGTGAGTTTTGGAAGCAAACACAGCAGCCAACTTGCACACAGCAATGGTCACAAACAGCCATGCAGTGAATGGCTTTTATTTAGGGGGATTGTTAGCCAGGACACCGGGAGACACATTCTTCTTTTTTTGAATAGCGCCATGGCAAAAAAAAAAGCCTCTACAGTACACTTTGAATAATTCTAACGTATATAAATAGAATTAAGGTGAGAATCACTCTCAGATTATTATAGATATAAAGTTTAGCACATTACTGGGCAACGAGATGACACTGCCTGTAGCAGCCCTGACAAGCTGTTGCAAAATAACAGAATGGATACCAGTGCCTCACCCAGAAAAGGATCAATAATTTGGTGGGGGAGGGGGAAGGAAATAAAACTTGCAAAACCTTGTTTCACATAGTGTAACGCTGCTTCTAATCCCTGTTATAAGAGAAGCAGAAATTGTGTAGGAAACGGTATTAGGAGATGCAAGAGTAATGGCAGAAACTGCACCAGGGAATATTTTATTATTTAATGTATGGGAGATACAGACAAATTTCGAGAAAGCTGAACCAGCCGAAGCCAACCTATCAACAGCACAAATAACACACTATGGGCTTTAACTTTACTGGTTTTTCTAAATGGGCTTCCATAGTGAGGATTACAGTAAATAGGAATTCAGCTGTTAATCGATTGGCGGGATTGCTTTTCCGGGGCTAATAATTCCTTTTTAAACAAATAATATGGTGATTCAATCCACCACTTTTTTGGGGCACTGCTTTGTGCAATTGGCTGCCGAGTTTCCCGACAAAATATGCAGTCAATTCACTTTACGGTATATCCTGTGAAGCACTTTGAGACTTCTCAAAGATGTGATAAGACCCTACATCAAATGCAAGGATTATTGTTATTTTTATTATAAATTAAACCGCATTATCCCCTGAAAAATGAAGATGTAGTACCCAATGCTCAATTGTGTTGTTGAAATCGGTCTTTAGCAACCAATTTAAATTATTAAAAAAAAACTAGATTATTCATGTCCATGGGATTTCTTGAACACTTACTCCAGGAAGAAAGGAGAAGAAGTTGTATTTCTGATTGTTGATAACATTGCGGGGATATTTCTGCTCTCGTTTCTCCGGGTGTCCAAGCCACACAGTCCGAGGTTTGAAATCCCTTCCTCCACAGCACCACCCACAGCAGCTGCAGAAAAGAAAGATGCACCATATGTTAAGTACTGATACTAGGAAGACAAGTCTTTATTTCCCTTGTCAAAACCACTTTCAAGCCACGTCCTGTTGGTATCAGCATTACTCGTGTTGTAACAGTTGGCGCCCCTATTCCCAAGAAATGCCCTGCCTGCCGTATAGATAGTGTACACGTGAAGACGCCATCAACTAATTAATAGTGCTCTTTTGCTCGTGCAATTTTGATTGCATTGGCCTGAGGAAGAAACTGTCGAGCGTCAGACAATGGGAACCAAACAATACAATACCAGCTACAATAAATGACTGTGTACTTCAGTGATTGTAGCCGTTTAATTCTCCCCTCTTCCCCTCCACCCCCACTCTTGTAGAAACGGACACATTACTGGAGTAAGATTCTTCAGTTCCTTGCCCCATTTAACCATTCAGTGATGGGTTTTGGCAGGTTGATGCACCCCACGTTGAAGGGAGCTATATAAATGCAAATTGTCGTATTTGGGGCATCAGAGTCAAGGTAGACAATAACAACAACTTGCATTTATATAGCGCCCTTCGCGCATTGTAGCAGCCCGGAGAGTTTCACAGCGGCGGAGTCTGACAACGAGCCGGGGGAGAGGGAGGTGAAAGTAAGCACGATCAAAACGGTAGGTCTTCAGGCGGGATTTGAAGGTGGGGAGGGAGGGGGCAAAGGCAGAGAGATCAATGGAGAGTTCCAGAGTTTTGGTGCGTAGTGGCTGAATGCACGGCCACCGATGGGGGAGAGGAGGGGGCGATGGATGAACAGGAGGCCGGAGCCAACTGAACGGAGGCAGCGGATGGTGGAGTGGGGGGTAAGCAGATCGGATACAGCCCTCCAGATACTACAGGTCACTGAGGACAATTGTAGTGCCCCTATCGCATCCCAGGTTCAATCTGACCCTGGTCTGTGCTGAGTTAACCAATCTCAGCCAGGATGGCTCTGAACCAAATCAATGCAAGGATTATTATTATTATTATTCTCACATACTGTATCAGGGCGTAAATGACTGAAAAGGCATTTCACTGTAACATGTATACAGTTATTTTTAACATTATTTCTACTGTGGTTGAACTGGGTATTAAAATCCAGAAGTATAGGAACATTTTGTAACCTTGCACATCTGACAGTTTGTTTATTATTTTTTTTAAAAACGTTTCCTTTTATAGTTTCTTTTCGGACAAGTCGGTTACCTTGTATTCCTGAACGTTATTGACTCGAGCGTGGGAACAGATACAAATGAAGGTTTTTATAAAACGAGTCTTGTTTTGGCGTTTTCTAAAAGCTTTCAGAGCTGTCAACTTTCTTTTAAAAACTGAAATGTCTTTCTGCTACATTTCTTGTTGCGTTCATTCATTCCTGGCTGTTGTTAACCCTGGTCTATCTCAGTGGCACTGGCTTAGGGTGAACGCAGCTGCCTGGATTTGTTCAGCGGAAATAATCTACCCAACAAACTCCATTGCACCTCCGCATAAATAATAAATATACAGTAAAAATGAAAATGTATAAGTTAGGAGGAAAGTGATTTGCCAAGCGAGAATAAATAAACATGTAGCCTCGGCATAAATGCTAGTATCTATTGGCCACACTAGTATCCTAACCAGAGTAAGAGTTCCGTGTTTGCCATCTACACATGGATATCTGAAACGGAAGAGCATAAAGGCACTATACAAGTGTAATTCTGTATTGTGTAACCCAAACAAAGTGCAGCATTAAAAAAAACTGTACTGAAAACCGATCCCAGGAATCAACATGGAGTTACTTGTGCTGAATCTTTGAAGCAGAAATCTGCAGCTTTGTGGTGTGGCCATTCTTCTAAAGCCGCAGTTCGTATTGACTGAGCAAGTGTGCTTATATCTGTCCAGATCCTGCTGTAAGGACACGAGGATCGATGCCAAATGGGAACACGATCAGGCTTAGCTGTGTTGACCAACCAGTTGATTAGCCCTCAAGCACTAACTGCTCACTCATACATGAAGAACGGTCACATGAGCAAGTTACCAGAGAGCCATTTCTGCCCTTTGAGCTCCAACCCATTGTGTCTTTAGAATATAACAGTCAGGATGTGGGAGGGAGAGAGAAGGGGGGAGGCATCTCCTCATTTGCTCCGCAGAGAGACTACACACTCCAGAACTGGTAAATAGAAACTCTGCTTCTGAGAGTTCTCGGTAGCTGGAACTGGAGGTCCTCTTGTGCACAATAAAAGGCTTTCATTCACGACTGGAGTGTTGCAGTTGCCTCAGTACGCCCCCCAACACCCCCCCCCCCCCCCCTCCCCGGTGGGAAAAAAGTAGTCAAGGTTCCCATTCCTGATCACTATGTGAGAAAATGTGTCTGTTTAGACAGGATCTGTCTAAACAATTAGCTGCCTCATTTCGCCCACAAACATACAGTCAATTCACTTTACAGTATATTCTGTGAAGCTCTTTGAGACGTCGCAAAGCCGCGATAAGGCGCCATATCAAATGCAAAGGTTATTATTATCTGGCTTAATGTGTCGCAAAATACAAAGTAAAAATGTTCAAGGTAAATTCAACTGAAGAACCTGGATCAGACAGGTGGAAAATATTCTACGAGTTGAAAAGCATTGCCTCAAACTTACAAGATGGATGCTTTCAGAACTGGGTACTGGGACGCTGACCACATTGTTCTATTAGAAAATAGCCATCTACGTAAATGGCATTTGCGTGTTGCTATTTGACAGGACTAATGTTATTGTGCCTAATAGCTTTCACTCATGCCAAACAATTTCAGGTCAGTGATACATTTCTGCACTGTATCGCTGCTCAGGGATACATTTCTGCACTGAAAGCATTCGAAGACCGTGCCAACTCATTCGGAATGGCAGCCCTTGACGGTGTGATTTGCACCAGTCATTCAGAATCTGCGCGCCAGAGCCAATCCGAAATGCAAGTTAAAAGAGTTGAGGATGCAGAAGTGAGCCACAACTCATATTGGGAATCCAGAGGAAGGCAGATAGCTTAACAACAATTTGAGGTTTCTTAATGCTCGCAAATATGAAAGCTACTCATGCTATTTGCACCTGGGAGCGGACGGTGAAGTGATGTATGGTCCCCTCTCCTAGATTAAAATGGGCAACATCATCTTCGAGTGTCATGTATCAAAATGTCTTGGGACATCCTACCAATCTGAGAGGCGCTACATAAAATGTAAATTTGCATTGTACTGCATTGTAAAACAATTGTCAAACAGGATATTGTCGAAGTCAACAGCATCAGTTCCTCATGATCCAAACTTACCGAATAACTAGATGGAGGACCCACATTCAGCTATTTTTGTGTTGATTCACTTATTTCTGTCTTTGCCATTTTTCTTATGGTATTCGCAGCTCTTAACAACGCACCTCCCCTACATTCCTTACAATTTGCTTGCCCCTAACTTACTCTCTGCATTCCTGCCACCTGTAACTCAGAGATGAAGAGGGTGATGCTGCAAAGTAGCTGCTGAAATGTTAATAGCAAAGAAGTGCTCCTTTTCGAAATTCCCACCAACAGTCAAGAAAATGTCAATGAAACAAAACACAAAATACTGCAGATGCTGGCAATCTGA